ATGCTTGCCTAGACTAGGGTCACTGTTACCATCTGTTTCAGTATGCAGAATAGCAATGCACAGCTGGCAAACAGTGTTCCTAGAAATGGGCCTAAAATGTGTGCTCTGCAGTGGTTTCAAAATCACAAAGGATCTGCTCTCTCAGACAAACGGCATGATTATTATTTTTCAGATTCTAGAAATCTCTACTGCTGTTTGAGTCAGTGCTTTTACTACTATTTGCACCTAAACACCCATCTTACAGGATGACAGCCTCAGCAACAGTAACACCTGACTGCTACCACCTACATTTTTCAGTCATTTCAGGGTTACAGCTGCATTCCCACTAACAGTCTTATGAAATATAAAGACTTTGTCAGTCAAAGGAAGAGTCTGTCACCTATGCTCCTTCTGCTTATGGAGTCAATGACATTGATTGTGCATTTTAATGTGCCATATATATATATATATATATATAATCATGACAGTAAAAAGGCAGGCTTTCAGTACATACAGTTTGAGGTTATTTTGTAACTTGTTAAGTAGATATGAATAAATCACACAGTGATTCAAGACATTACTCAAGCATTTTTAGGGTTTCTAGTTCTTACTGTTCTGGAACATTGTCAGCAATCCTATTTCATCAAGTATCACTGCTGTCTGATACCAAGCTGCAAAACAAAGTTACTAAGGCCTTGCATATACAGGATTTTATTAAGGCCTAAAATATATGGGATTTTAATAAACAGAACAATTAGTTCTGTTTTAGTTACACCACCAATTAGTTCTGAAAGTTACACCACTAATCACTCCTCAGAGAGTGCTCCTCCTAGAAATCTAATAACCTGGCTTGAGACAATAGAGTTACCCTCTCCAAAGTGTGAAGAAATGATTTAAAACTCAGTGAAATTTACTCTGTGTTTTTCTCCCTAGTATGCACCTAACTGGTGGGGTTTTCTTTTCCAGATCCACCTGCCTCCTATGGGCCTTGCCCATAAACAAGGCCGTACATTGCGACACCAGGAAAAGTTAAGGAAGATTTCTAAGCCAATATACCTGAAATCCCATGATGAAGTTTCATAAGCCACCATTTAAGCTGTGGTGTGTAATCACATCCTTTCAACTGTGAACTGCAATCCAGGTGATTTGTGTGCACGACTGTGAATAGTGTGGTCACTTGCTCACACATTTCCTGAGGCCAAAAAGCCAATTGATCCATTGTGTATGATGGATTAGGTTGGTTTAGTATTTATTACGTTTCAACCACTGACTTGTCAATAAAAGTAACACTTTTTAAGGAGTGAGGTGTGATACAAAGATTACTTTGACATCAGGACAAACTGCAGCAGGATTTCAAACTCTTGTTTATCTGTAACAGGGTTCTCTGGTGGTTTGAGGGTTCTCTGTGCTCAGTTGTGACTCAGGACTGTGCCTTGTGTAAGGTCGGCCAAAATTAAGGAAGTCTGGGACAGTCAAGCAGACACAGTTCCTCCAGAGCTTCTGAATGCCAGTGGGAATACAGTCACTGCACCCTGCACCTGCTCTCCTTCCTCTCTGCTCCCTGCTCTGCCTCTGTCCCTGGAGGAGAGCTCCAGTTTCACAGTACCCTTATGGGGAAGTTTTGTTTCTGGACAGTAGAAAAGAGACAGCAGCAGTGCCACTACTCCTTTGCAAACTGCAGAGGAGTGGCCTAGAGTCTGTATGTCAGCTTTTTTCTCTCTTCCTTTGGAGAGGGTGTGGATGTGAATGGCAAAGTTTGGAATGCTATTACACAACTCTGAGTAAAACATTCCAGTGCTGGGTTCCTCAGGTTCCCATGTATGGACTGGCTGAAAACTCTGCCTTCAGGGTATCACTATGGGAACAAGCCTAGGATGCTTTGGTGTCCTCACTGTGTGCTTTCACATGGTCAGCTTTTCAGCATAATCAGCACACTGGCTTTCTCAACAATTATTTTAATTTATTGTTCGGTTTTAGCTCTTACGTTATGGATTGAACCCCAACTTTAGTAAAAGAAAGTATCTACAAGTCTCCTAAGTTTGAGGGGTATTTCTGTTTCCCAGGTGCCTCACGAATAGAAGTAAAAGGAAATTAATTTTCTTTGCATGGGCTACCAGTTGTTTTGGCTCCTTTGCAGTCCTCTGACATGTTCTCTTCAGGGAAGTTGGGGGAGTCTTCCATCCTTCAGGCTTGAAATACCAGTGAGACCAAGCTTGGACAAGAGCCACACTGTACTGGACACTACCTAAGCACAGTCCAGAGCACTTAAAGGACAACCTATTCCAGCCTGACTTTAATAGTGGCAAAAGAAAAAAAAAGAATAAAGCAAATTTGAAATATGCATATGTGTATGATTTCCTTTTAAAGTAGGAGAAATCAATGAAATCTCATTTCTGAACTCACCAAGTAATTTGAAACTCTGCAAGCTCCAATAAACAATGACAAAGAAATATTGCTGTCTACCTGAAACATAAGTTAGAACTGGTCCTGTGCAGAACAGACTGACAGCCCCTCCCCTAAGAATGCACTTTGAAGAGTGAAAAAAGTACAAGCAGATGAGAAAGTATAAGAAAACAATGAGAAGAGTGAATAAGCATGACAGGTACTGGCTAGCCCAATTTCTCACTACCCTTTATGGCTCCAGTTCACAAAGGTCTCTATTCCCATATAATTATTTCCTGGGAATGCCTCATGTGGGGAGTAGCAGGTAAAATGCCATTGTTCTATCAGTGGAAGCTTTGCAAATTTACTGCTGCCAGGAAGACAAAACAAAACTCCTTCAGCCTAGGAGAAGGGGGATTGCATAAAAAAAAGAAAGAAAAAAAATTAACATGATTTCACACACTGTTTAATTCTTCACTGAAAGAAGTCTAAGTACAAGCTAATCTGATATCCTAATTGTGATACACCAGTGTAGGGATGCATCAACTGAGCCCAGCCAAAATGTGCAGAGGCAAGGGGTTTGAATGGAAGCTTAAGCTCACTCTTTGTCATTAAAGTATCATTTGAATCTTTTGAATTGCTGAAGTTCATGTGACTAATGAAGTTACTGATACTCTGACACACCAGGTGAATAAACAGCCATGGAAATGAGCAGTCTGAATTTACTGTCTGTGTCACAGTCACAACTCTTTCCTAAGCACATACTGTAATATGTAGATTATTTCCAAAGAACATCCCTAAAATTACAGAAGATCTATACCAAATTGAAGTAACAACAGAAGTTTGAGTTTACTTCTGAAGGAAAATACAAAGAAGCAATTCTTAAAAGGTTCATAACCCTCAAGTTACTCAAATAAGTATCCACTTGCTTAACTGAGAAATCAGCAAGTAACAGCATTACATTGTTTGAGATGCCTTAAATGCAAGACAGCCTAATAATTCTTCAAAGAGCTTGAAAAATTATTAATTGGTGCTTCATCCTCATTACCCTCCATCACCAGAAGGCAAAGACTGAAATTTGTTCAGCTGAAGGAAGTATTAGGTCAGCTCTTTTTTCAAGTCTGCAGAGTAAACCCTTTCTTTCATAGCTTAAGTTAAAGTCGTTATGGAAAGGAGAATCAAACTAGAGTCCTTTGTTTTTGGAGGTCAAACTGACCAACTACCATTCTGAGGGAGTTTCATTAAAAAAATTCATCTGCAACTCAGTCCAGCAGGTAGGCAGAATCTCAACTGGTACTCTTGTATTAGGTGCCAAGGCCCTTATAACTTCTGTCAAGAAGTATCCCAATGATTGCACAAGATGTCATTCCTACACATTAATTTTACTTGCAAAAACAGGTTGTCCTAAAATGCCTCTGCTTTCTGCAGAATTTGTAATGCACTGGATTCACCCAGTCAGTGTACACTCTGTCCTGTACTTGCTGAACCTTCTCTTACTCCCCTTCCAGTAAATACTGTCATTTTCCAATTTATCACCCTAGTCAGGAGATGCTTTAGAATAATTTAGAGGAAAATGATGACATTAACTTTATATTCTTCAGAAATAAAAGTCCTGAGTCAGTTGCATGAACTCTCCTGCAAGCCCACTGGTAGGCAAGGCAGTAATAATTTGTTGACACATTATCTGGTCTTGAATACTTAAAAAACACCTCCTTTCTGGAAGTTTTGTCTCTAAATCCATCATTACTGTAATTTATGAAGGTGTGCACTTACAACTAACATTAGCAAGCACACAACATTTTAAGATGGATGTGGCACCTCTTACTGCACGTCCCCCTCGATGTCTGGGGGTGAGAAAATGCTCATTTTGCTGCAGATGATTCCCAGGGCAGCATCACAGCACCAAAATTAGGATAGCTTAGGTTACCTGATCCATCTTCCTACTAATACAAACTGCTTCTTGTAATGCCTTTCACATGGGAAGAAAATAAGGCAAGCAGGACCTCACTGTCCTGGGCCCTACTATATCCATGAGAAATGGTACCAGTAACATCCATCTTTCATCCACAGACAGAAGGTCACTTATTTGATCATACCTATACAGTCATTTCCAAGAATGCTAATTAGAGCAGAGACCTGCAACTTTCACTGGTAACTCTAATCCTATTAGGCACAATATTCTAGCTCTAAGTGGAAGGATTTGGAATCTTTGTACTGTCTCCTGCTTTTTAATTGCATAATTTTCCCCTTAACAGCCCAACAGTGTTAAAGTCCACAGGGGTAGTACTTTCTAAAAAGAATTTTTGTATAGATGAGAGGAAGGTTTCAGTCTCCTAAGAAAATGTACAAACCCTGTCTTACAGCATCCCTAGCTGAAAATCTCTCTGCTAAGGGAAAAATACCTCTTGCTCCATAATGATTTTTTTCCCATCTGCCTTGAGTTATTACCAAAGCTGTAAATCTGCAATTTGAAGTAATTACAGGTGGCGTTTGTGGCTTATTTAATGAGTGCTTCTAATTAAGAAATGAAAATTCTAAACCTGTCAATCCAAGGATTCTAATACTATTACAAGGTACTTACTTTGTCAAAAAAATTATTTTTCATATTTCTATCATGTCCAACTAGCAGCTGAGCTGCCTTTTTTTTTTTTTTTTTTTTTTTCCTAAATGCATCTTAGCCAAGAAAGGTTGTGAATTCTTATGTTTAGCCAGTTGATCATTCTCCAGGAAGGTGTAGTCAATGCTAAGGAAATAAGGCTGGGAAGCTCATTCCAAAGAACCACAGAAACATATCTCTCAAGACAGATATCCCTTGACAGTAAATTCCATTGCCTTTCTGTACTAGGGAGGGCAGCCTAGGAAATCATGTACTGCTGTAATCATCAGCTAAAGCAGGTCAGCCATGCCTGATCCCTGGTGAAGGGATGAACAAGCCCTCTCTTACAGACTCCTCTCTTATCTATATATATTTTTATCAGGTCTACAAAAGCTTAAAATACATCATTAATGACATTCCAAGGGATGCCTTCATATCAAATCTAAACATCAGCACACAGGCAGCATTTAGAAAATCAACACAGTGACATTGCACACAGGTCATAGCAAAGTCTCTGCATATTCACAAGAACCACAACTGTGTCATTTAATAACTATCAATTACTGTTTGTTCACAAAAAGGTTAACAAGCAACCCACATGGTAATCTATTACACAGATTTCTAACAGTTTAAAAGTAATTGATCTCCATGAAATATAATTTAGGTAGTGAATCCGACTATTTAAAAATTGTTTCATTTAGAGGACTGTTTGCAAGACTTATCTGTAAGAGGACTGACAAACCTTCATTTCAGAGTTAATTGTTGTTGGCCCAGCCTCCCTCTCAGCAGGTGAGGTGTCACCAGAAGCTATGTCTGAGCAGAAAGATCCTTCTGAGAGCAGTGACTGAGCTGATCAATCCATAGGGAAGGATTTAACATCCAGGTCCTGTCCCTTTGGCCTGCACAGAGGCTCAATCACTGGTGTGTTATCCCTGACACCACAGTCACCTAATTAGTGATCTGAACTGTTGATGCAATTACAACAATTAGATGCAGATATTCAAAAATACAGTAATCACCACAATATTTTACTAAATGTATAATACATTTCTGTTAATTTAAATATATGAAAACTACAAAATATCTCTCTTATGAAGTCTAAGAAAATAATTTTTTCAAGGACCCATTTTAATTAATTTATTTATAGATCTACTGAAACATGATTCTCTTCTTAAAAACTGTTGTCTGTTTGGATGAGTGTGCTGTAACATTCGTAAACAAGTTTTATTTTGGTATAGGTGCCAAATATCATTTAGTCTAATTTCTTAAGAGTAGTTTCTTCCTCTCAGTAATTTGAAACACCTGCACATCTCTGTCCTTTTTATTGAAACAAACATCCTTTAGGTGTCCTGGCCTGACACCTTTGCTCTGCTCCCAGGTACCAATGCTGCACCAGATGCTGCATGCTGGACTGTTAATGAGGTGTCAGGTGTGGTGCATGAAGCTGCTCTTACCTGTGCACCTTCCTGCAGAGCAGCCCTGCACAACACACCCCAACACTTCTGCCTGACCTTGCACTACCATTCTTAACAGCTACTATTTCATGAATGCCTGCATAAAACAAACCAGTGGTTAACAAAACAACAATGAACTGTTTTCACCTAAGGACAACACAACAGACGAATTCCTATGGCAAGAACTGTGTCTTTTAAGGAGATGTAACAGCAGCCCTTAATGCTTGGACCAGGATACTGGGAATTGCCAAATGATGGCTGAATCTGACTTAGTGAGGCCTCTAGCAAGTCATTAAAATGCTGCAATTTGGGCAATGAAAAAAAATACAAGACCCCAGATTAGTGGATGTATGTCTAGTGCATGTTTTTTAAAATGTTTGCCTTGATCTTTGTGCCTCTCTTGTCCTGTGTACACAACAAGTCTAATGATGCATCTTTAGTACCTTCTTGGCATGCTGTGGGGATTAGTTAATGACTGAACAGCTCTTTGAAGATGTTCAGGCTATTTTATTTTTAATTAATGTTTGCAAGCTACTTTGAGCTTCTCTGATGAAAGGGCTTGAACAAATACAAAATTTCAGGCAGTTATTAGTCCAACATGCAAGAGAGCAAGAGGAGGAAGTTGGGGTAGAGTCAATTTTCCTCACACTGGCTGGTATGGGGCTGTGTTTTGGATTGTGCTGAACACGGGGTTGATAACACAGAGATGTTTTTGTTATTGCTGAGCAGGGATTGCACAGAGCCAAGGCCTTTTCTGCTCTTCATACTGCCAGGCTGGGGAGGAATTTGGGGGTGTCTGGGAGGGTGGGAGGAGACACAGCCAGGACAGGTAACCCCAAATGAGCAAAGGGACACTGCAGACCATGTGGCATCATGATCAGTGTGGAAAGTAGGGGAGAACAGGGGGACATTTGGAGTGATGTCTTCCCAAGTCACCATTACATGTGATGGGCCCCTGCTCTGCTGGGAATAGCTGAACACCTGCCTGCCTGTGGGAAGCAGGGAATTAATTGTTTTGCCTTGTTTGTGTGCATGGTTTTTGCTTTCCCTATTAAACTGTCTGTATGTCACCCCATGAGATAGTGGGGGGAAATGGTGTGAGTGAATGGCTGTGTGGGGCTGGGCTGCTGACAGGAAGTAAAGTGAGACTGTGGGAGAAAGAAAACAGCTCCATGTATCAATCAGGTACCTGGAATATGCAGGTAAATAATATTGAAAAAAAAGTTATATGGCATAATCATACCGTTCTGAGAAATGGCAGATCCCAACACATGTTGAGAAGCTCTCCATGGAAATTCTGACACATCATCCAGGAATGACTACAGTTTTATAATACAGCTTGGGTAATTCATTCTATCTGAGGATTGGAGGATTGGTTTCATAGGTTGACAACAGAATATTCTCATCTCCTCCCTCCTTGTCCTACATACTCCTGAGACACAGAGGTGGTAGGCAAATCCAAAATCTTTTTGCAAGATTTGTAAAGTAGATTCCCAGTAAAATCAACATCAAAACTCTTTAGCCCTGATTTCATTAGAAAAAAAAAATCAGCCATGCAGCCATTGAGGAGTAAAGCAGATTTTTACAATCTCAATATTGCACCCTCTCAGTCATCCAGCTGGCAGAGGGCTGCCACACCTCTATTTATCCAGTGTTTCTGGGGCTTGTCTGAAGGGAGTTCAATCGACAGGACATAGTTGGTTGAGTGCCCAGTGGTGGATAAGACACCTCTTCTTTCACTTGTCTTGTACACAGGGCATGAGTAGATGTTCTCATGAAGAAACTTGGAACTTTCTCCAGGTTTCAGCCATATTATGGGCAAAGGATCATAGAGGATTTTTGGCAGTGATTCTCCAATTACCAAGGATTCTCTATCCCATCGTGCACCTTCCAAAAAAAGGCCTCTCACATAAGCCCCATCTTCTGGCATTTTCTCCATTGTGTGCTCCTGTTTCATTACCTGGAATGATTAAACCATTGCTTGATTTTATCTGGAGGATACTAAATCCTGTAAGTAACAATCTGAAATTGCTCCTTTAAATAAAATAACATTTCATCTGAAAACTATCTCTTGCTGCCCCAGAACATGTCTGTTAAAGAAAAACAAAATTCTGGATTTTTCTTACCTCAAACTCAAATCCAATGTGGTCAATTGGGATGGTGTATTTTCTGGCAAAGTTTTGTAAAACACCAGTCAAAAAAGACTGAGTGAAGAAGAATCCTGACAGCCAAAAGACTGTGGGTGGCCCCTTGTCAACCCAATCCTGAACAAGGAGAGAGAAAACAAATGTAATAAAAAATCCAATATATTTGTAGCTTCACTGTGCCAATTCACCAGAAAAGGATACACTCAAACACTGAAACAACCAGAACTCAGTGCAACTGAGAAAAATTTCAGAAAGTAGCATAAGCATGTTTTGTTTAGTCTAGATAGTGGCCTCTAAAAACAAGAAAAGTGGTTGAATTTGGACACTTTTATCAAAATACTTTCTTTTACAGTCTTGTGAACACCAATCTCCTAACATGAAAAAAGGCCAAATTCTTTTCCATTCTTCCCTGACCAATGTCTCTTCACTGATCACTGTGAGGGCACTCACTAAGCCTACACATCAGATGCTAGCAGAGGAAATCATTCCTCTACAAAGGTGCCAGACAAGGAGATCTTGGACCTTGTCCACACAATGCAGTAGGAAAAAGCAAAACAAGGGCAAAATGTCTTCACACTACTGTAGGTTATTTGGAATCAAAATGCTCTGATCCAGCAAACAGGAAACTCTGCCATTTACATAAATCTCAGACACTTCTTCCTAGCTTTCTCCTTTCCTGACTTCTATGGGGTTTCACTACATCTCAGTAGCTCCCTATTTAAGGTACACCCAAATTTTAAGTAGTTTTAAGAGTGCAAGGGAAAGAATGGAATGACAAGTTAAAAATAAAATAGCCTGTTCAAAAAGTGTAAGAAAGTATTGTCACATTTTATGAAACTTGAAAGATATTTACAGACACGTGTATGAAATTTCATAGTGCCTGTTATGCAGTGGTTCTAAAGCATTCTCACACCCAGCTCAGTGCCCTTTCAGCAAGGAAGTCATTAAAGCACCAATTAAAACTAAAATGAACCTTCTAGAAACAGAAAGATGGAAGCCACCAAAAGCAGCACTGGATTAGCACCAAGGGATCACTCTCCCAGCTCACCCTGAGCAAGTGCCCAGCTGACTGCAGTGCTGCTGATGCAGAGTGTGTGTGAGCAGCTCACAGTCTGAGCTACCCAGGGGCTGCTGAGCAAGGACAGCTCTGCCACACCCTCCCCATTCACCTTCCCACTACAACTCCCCAGACCCTCAGTGTCAGTTCAGCAGACCTGGAAGAACTCCAGGCGGCAGAGCAGATCGGACACGTAACTTCCCAGAGGCTTCAGTGATGGATAGGATTTGGCAGCCCACATTGATGGCACTTTTCCCATCAGCATGCTGTTGAAAACATCTTCAAGCTCAGAAGACATCAACACTTGGCCTTTAATGGCTTTGCCTATATTAATGAGGCTGCTCCGAACAACTTCAGTAAGCCTTGAGAGAAAACAAAGGAATTGTCATTATTTACTTCTCACTACCTGGCTAAATACCCCCCAGTCCAACTTGAATGAAGGGTTGATAGAGGTGGTAAATGTCCTGTCAGAAATTCCTTATCTCACCTGTAGTTATCAAAATTCTTACTTTACTTTAGAAAAGCAAACAAATGAGAGACACACACACAAATAAAAGACAGTGAAAACTTTCACTCTAGACAAGGGAAATCAAGCAACAAGAGCTTTAAAGCTTGTGGCACTCATTGTCATAGTGTGCTGTGAATACTGGGGCCTGGGTATCAAAAAGACTAAAGTAGGCTGCTCTACCTCAGCACAACAAACTCAAATGTGATTTAAGTTCATACTCCAAGAATACAAGTACTATTGCTATATTCAGGTTTTCAGCTGCAGCTTTCAAGTCTTTCTAAAGGATTCATCCAAAGCAGAATCTAACATGTCAGGAAAAATGTACTGTAAAAGGCTTGTTCAAGGTTTGTGAGCAGCTAGCACCAATGCACACAAGCATATTTCAGTTTAAGAAGTACAACACAAAACACTGAGCCATACCTGTTAAATCTAATTAGTTCTTGCCTAAGAACTGTGTTCATGGACTCTTCATAAAGTACTGGGTATGCCTTCATCACTTCTTCCATATCAAAGCTAGTTGGTAGTTTGGATAGGATGTCCTGTGCCAAATCTTCAACAACTTCCTGAAGTCACAAGTTTGCAGTGAATAACAAATATTCCTTTTTTCCCCTCCTATTTTTATTGAATAAATTCCACAAAACACTACGGATTTTATATTTTTCTGTATAACCACATAGGTATTTTAGTCCATTTTTACAAAGATACAGTGCTTTTATGCTCTTACTCACTTTTAGTATCATCCTGTCTGTCTCTGCATGTGCCTGCTTGCTCCTTCCTTCTCAATAATTTTAAATTTGTTAGTAATTTTTAATTTGCAACAAAGTTTTAGGTGATTTCTAAGGAAACAGGCAGGAGAGCAGGCAAGCACAATCCTATTTCTGCCACAATGAAGGACAAGATGAAGCATGCAGCATAAGCAAAATAAGAAGACCCCATGAATAATCCAGCCACAAGAGAAGCCTTACTTATAGAATATTAGACATCAGAGAATATGATCATTACACAACCCTGAAGGAAATGAGGAAAATGAGGAAATTCCACTTTTCAAGAATCCACTTGTGTATAAAATATAGGATGTCAAATCTGAGAGGCTTGAAATGTTATTTATCCATATCTCAAAGTGGCATGGATTTGGCCTGAGTAAACTGAGCTGCCAGGACATGTGGTATTAATCTGTTTGAATGCAGAGTCATGAAGGTACCTTTCATCTTTAAAGGTGCTATGCCAAATCCATCTGCTTCTCTACAGGGACATTCACATCTACTCCCAGAGCTACAGACATGAGATGAGAGGTGTTGGATTACTCTGAGAGCTAGGACATGCCAGGAAAGGGCACCTTTCCAGACTGCACATTGATCTTTCTTCCCCAATTACCTGAGGGGACTTCCCAGCTCCCCCTGCTTCCCTAGGCAAAGTCAGGAGCACTGCATGGAAAAGCTGGTTGGTCTCCTGGTTATCCTTGGTGATGTCTGCATTTTCATGAAGTCCAAACACTTCAGGGTGTGTTGTAATTGGCAAACTTCGTATGTACTCAATATAGGACTGTAAAAAAACATTCAGATACCAGACATCATACAATGTGGTAGTCATAAATGATCCAACTAGGACAGAACCTTCCCATTTGCACCTAAAGATGGTAATTCCCTGTTGAACACATCCAGGAACTGACTGACTCTCCACAGAGATAAATATAAAAGTTCTGAGTGATTCAAAAGCTCACGGAGGAGTTGTTATTACCACCCTCGTGTAAGTGGCAAGAGAAAGGAAAGCTCATTAGAAATATCCAAGGAGTGCTGGTAGGAGTCACAGAAGGATGCTGGATGTGTCATCCCTACAACTGTGGGATCTGAGCACATTCATTATCTCTATGCAGCTGTTAGAAGGGAAAAAGAGGATGGAAATTGAGTATACACACATGCCATTCCACCTCTCCCTCCTGATTGCTGCTTTCAAGGTCAGACTGGTTGCAGTCTGACACTGCAGAAGTACTATGTAAATTCCTGCAGCCTGAGTCCTGTTTGCCCTCTAGAACTGTATTGGAAACCTGCACAGGGGTGGTTTCTCTCTTCATCAAAAAATGTATTGGATGATCTCTACATCCCCACTGGAGTATTGCAGATATTAAGTACCAGATTCATATTTCATACACAAGATACATTCTGGCATGGCTTTATGATATTATGGGGTGTATTTTCTATTTGTTGTATTCAGCATTATCCAAGCACAGTGTAGGTAAGTTTCTTCCCCAATAATTCAGAGAATTTACACTTGTCTTCTCACCTCATAGGGGCCATGTGGTGGTATGTAGTAGTCACTCCCAGCTGAAAGCATGTACTTCTCCTGCTCTATGTCCTTGTTGTAGACTGTGGAAAGAAGGGACAGGAGAAGACGCCTGTCTTTATCATCTGTCACTCTACCTCCATAGTTACACTCCCCTGGAAAAAGACAAAGAAAACCAGGACAAAAACCTGAAAATTAATGAACAAATCAAAATTGGTTTGCAATAACATGAAACTCTAGTAAGTTGAAGCTCCAAAGCTCCAGATTTTCCAAAGTCTTTAGGCTTTATACTTCAATTGATTCAATGGAAATTAGACACTTGAACATCTAAGGGCCAAATTTATGTGTCTTGATGATGGAAGGTTTAAGGAACACTATCAGTTGGTCTGAGAAACTGCTATTATGTCCCAAAATTCTTTTTCATAAAGATAATCATAATATTAACAAAAATTAAGGATGACAAGGGTGACAAAGGAGGTGCCAAAAAGCAGCTTATCTCCCTGGAGAAAGAGAACAGAATAGCCACAGCAGCTGAGTTATTTCCACACATTAACATCTCCTGCTTTAAACCCCTGAGTACTACCACATCCTCTGGTGAGACCCCAAAGCTTCCTGTGTCAGTCTCACACTGATCAGCAAAGGTGAACCAGGTGAACCAGAGGGTTTTATTTGATGAGCATGAAGCAAAGACCAGGAGGTTTGCTGGGACATCAGTAACTGTAGCCATATACAAGTCAAAACAACAATGACATCTGAGGGTTTGGGAGCCAACTCCAACATCCATCCAATGACAACCATATTGTTTGTGGAAGGCCAGTAAAACCAACCAGTGTGGAATCCACTCAATTTGTTGAGAACTCACCAGTTTATCAGTGTATCAGCTGAAAGTGCCCAGCAAAGCCAACTAACACATGTGAAAGGATGTAATGGCTGTACCTGTCAGATAGGTCAGAGCTTCAAATGGGATTTCTTCATATTCATTCAGAAACATCTGGATCTGTTGCATACTGATTCTGAGGTCAGACTCGTTGAATTCATATGGAATATTCCAACCTGTTCAATTCAGAAGAGATACAGAGGGCAGTGGTGCAGTGTACTGACAGCTGGGCTCAGGAATGGTGGTGCTGGTACTGCACTGCTCCTACAGAGCTGAAGATACAACTGCCAGATAGTCTAGAAGCAGCCTGGAATATACCAGGCTGTTTATTAAGCATAGGCATTTTGTCATCACAATATTCCTGAAAATTATATTTTACCTGCTTGGTACTTTAAGCTAATCTGGACACAATGAGAACAGAAGTTTTAATCAATTTATTGATTTCAATTTTTAATCTGCCCATCTATTAATACTGTTTGCAGATGAAATTCACAGTAACAGTACAACAAAACAAGCATGCAAGCAGACAAACAAATAAGAACATACTCCAGATGAAAGAATCCTTCAGAAAACCTAAATCCCTAGTGCAAACCAAAAATAGGGTTATTGATGTTGCTATCCTTCTTCACCCAGATAATTGGTCACACTAGCAGTAGATGTTACATTAGAAAATGGCCTCTAGAAAATTCACTTTTACTCTAAAGCAATAAATGAATGTCTTCATACTGGAAGTTCAGTGCTTATTTAAACAGCTGACTATTAAAATAATGACAGTGGCTTTCAGTCAAAATATAATATTTCCTAACAGCAACCTGTTATGAGGAAGAGAGACTCAGCTGGAATGCAAGACTGAGAACTTCATTTACACAAGTGCAGAGCATAAACTTTATATAGTTATAAAAATGGATTCTCTAAGTCCATACATTTGTATACTATGCAGAAATTCTATATAGTTTTCTACATATTTGAAGATTACAGAAAAAGCTGAAGCACAAATCTTATAGCACATATCTTTTTACTGCTATGTTATAAACAACACACTGCAGCTATATGGATTTTTTCAAACCAAGTAAATACATGCACTATGTTTGATAAAACAAAGTATGCACACAAGCAACAAAACCAGAATAGAAGGTGGCATATTTTTAATTATAAAAATTTTAAACGGATCTGAATTTGATTGTTACTAAGAACCACAGTAATAAGTTAATAGTTTAGTAAGCTATAATTTCATGTAACTACTGTATAACATATTAATTTGGAAAAATAGTACTTTCTAGTCTTCCCCAGGGTAATACTTTTAATAGCTTCAAAAGTAGCTTTGGCTGAATAAAAATCCCTGCAAATAACAGCTTTTAGACTTTATGATGTTCTGTACAATGCAGATTGCACTCTTGTAATACTCTTAACAGTATTGCAGTTAACAGTACTGCCTTTTTACAGAGAGACTCCAGCAATGCATTTCAAAAGCACAAATCTTTTTTTTTAAATGAAGTGCAAAATAATCTAAAACTTACCCAGAGGGCCAAAGTGCCTCCTTTCCTGCACAACAGCATGGAAAAAGCAAAGACCAAAAAGCAGTTTTTGCCACATTTTTGGCTTTTGGCAGCTTTTAAAAAACACAGGGTCGGAGATGGGATCATTCAGGTATGAGCGAAGAAGGTTCACTCTCATGCCTTTTGGAGGCTCATTTGTCATTTTGATGCCATTCTGGAGGATACTAACAGGAAACTTTTCTGATGGATAACTAGTTAGCCACAACCTGAAAAGTTTGAAAAGCCCATTATTAAAAATCATATAATAGTAAGAGTAGTAGTAATAATAATAATCATTTTTAAATCAATAATATACTCCTGCATCTTGATCTTTAGAAGACTAATTTTTCCTACTTGCTTAACTATAATGATAACATCTAAATTTGGTCTAAAATGCAGGCATAAAGTAGATTATATGGGACAGATAGAAAAGATGACCTCTTAATTATGGATCTTTATTTTATCACTGCACATAAATTATATGAATGTCATACTCAGGCATTCTTACAGAAGAATTTAAATTTCTTTTTAGTAGTGTCTTCAGCAAAGAGGAAATGCTCACATTAAAAAGTGCAAAATACTAAAACTCCTACCTGAACTTATCATTGGTATTCTCAGGCACTATAACTTCCTCACAGATTTTTTCCAAGGCAGGCATCCAGCTGGTTGCAAGATGGCAGTTTTGTAACACTACCCAGGTTCCATCAGTAATAGCCTGGTAAATCATTTTTTCTGCTATTGGGCCCTGGCCCTGGCCCAGTGAAACTGTTTGAACACTTGAGCTTCCCATGCTAACATCATCAGCAAATTTTAGCAAACCTGTGATGTCAAGTTTTATACATGCAAAAAAATATGAAGTCTATTAGGAAGTAGAATATGTTGTATTCATTGGTTTTATAATCTAATTAAAGGGAGAAAAATCAACAAATATTTTACTCAATTGAGAAAAATAAAAGAAAACACAAAAAAACCCCACCTCAACAACCCAGAAGTAGTATCATATGCTGTAGCAGTCACTGTGTCTCTGAGGCATATACTAAAATATTGGGGAGTATAAGGTATTAATTAAAAAAAAAGAAAAAAAGAAAAAAAAACCCCAAAAACTAGCCAGGTTAAATGGCTGACCTCTTCTTTGGCCCCAGGTGTTCAGTTCCAGGCTGCACAACAGCCCTCGACTCTCTGTTGGATGGGTACCATTGTTTATGGGGGTTGAGCTGCAAACGGAATCTTTAGATCTGGCTAAAAATAGACCTCCAACTTTGCTATCAAAATCAGTACTTCCTGGAAATACATCCTTATGGTATGGCTCCATATCATAATTCTTTTGGCAGAAAACCAGATTTAAAAATAATCTGGGTGGTTACACTTTAAAGGCCATTCAACAAATGTGTTTTTAAGTGTGGCCTATACACCATTTAATTAGTAACTGAGAGGGAGGAAACTTACTGGAGGAGGGGCTGCAATAAAGACTGGGGCAAACCTCCAACACCCACTGAAAAATTGTAATGCAGGTACAAATTATAAACTGGTCTGAATGCTTCAATCTGTTAGATCCCCAAATTGCTGCTCAGAGACCGAGACATTTCATCACCACTACTTTCATTCCACCCTCTAACAATTTTACTATAATTGTTTATATATGGGCAGATGCCAGTGTTTGATATTCCTTCACTGCTGTATTGTACTTTAAAGATTCTTTAAAGATCAAATGAGGGGGCCTACACTGTTAACAGTTTAGTCAGACTCAGTGACATTTAACCAGACAAAAAAAGATTTTTTTAATACCAATCTCACCTGCCATAGGATCAGCACCAGGTGATAATATAAAAATCAAAGGGGCACAACAATTTGAGTCACTGTAACTTCTTCCAAGATCAAATGTAGGTGGTTCAATAAATGTTCTTCCCATGTTTTCCACAATGAAGATCTGCACTGCTGGGACAATTTTGTCAGGTCGCAAACACCTGAGAATAACCATGCGATCTAAGCCCGTCAGTGAGTTCCAGTCATCTGGGAAGGCTTCCTCATGGGGCCTGACAGAGTCATAGATTGGCTTCCACTTGGAAGAATTGTCTCTTACGTGTTCCATCAGTCCCTGCAGGTTGGTCAGGCAAGATGCACGGACGAGCTCAGCCCATGATTTGTTAGACAGCCAGTCTGGAGCTGGATTGGGGTGAGGATTGTCAAGAGCAACCCCTCCTGTCAGCAGGAAACGCCAAACTGCATCATCTATCTGGCCTTTTCCCTTCATGATGCCTACTGTTAGGAGGAAGGAGAATAACAGCTTGTCCTTTTCAAACAGTGAACGGCAGACATTATTATAGATGCTTACTGTGAAATGGTCAGTGATATTTCTAATTCTCTCCTGTAGGCGTCCACTCTTAACGCTTTTAGCAATAGATTGAACATACAAGTTAATGAACCAAATCAATGAATACTGGTACATAGGCTCAATGTTAGCCAGATCAGAGATGCAGAAGAAGACAACAGCTGAATGAACAGCAACTGGCTTATATCCCATTCGAGTAGAATCTATTTCCTTCTCAGTTACAGAGGCAATTTGTTGCTTTTCAGAGATTTCTGCAGATAACTCCTTGGATGAAGACAAAATATTAATTGCTGTTTCATCCTCTAAGATGTTTCCTTCTGAATGGGAAAGGACCTCCAGGATTTTATCTTCTAATTCCTTTAGTTGTTTCTTATTGGCTGCACTTTCTAGAATGAGTTGGTTTTTTTTTTCTTCTAGCTCAGGCTTTTCCTTTGCAGCTACAATTCCAAGAAGCTGGTCCTGAAGACCCAAAGGTGTAATCATAAAATTGAGCAGACAAACTTTCACAGCCACTTCAGGATAATAATGAGGATTTCTTAAGTGGGTTGTCATGTAAAACCTGAAGTCTCTTGAATATTCAATTATATTTTCCCCTAATTTCATGTATTCTACTCCTTGTTGTTTGAATGTTTGCTTTAATAAAATAGGTTCTAAGAAAGCATCTAATTCTTCACCAATATTTTCTAGCAAGACTGGTGTTCCAAGCTGAAGAGCAGTTTCTAATGTCCTCACATAATGTGTGTCAGATAGTTTGATAACTGACAGCTTGTTAGTTTTCTCCATATTTTTTATCCACTTGTTAGCTTGCCTCTGAGGATCTATCATTAAAGCCCATCTTCTTGAGTTAGAAACAATTACACCATTGTCAATGGAAAAAGAATCAACTGGCAATCCAGCAATATGCCATGCACGGATCTTGACTGGATCCCCTAATGTATTACTTAAGCTAAAATCACTGGAGCACGGAATGTTCTTTTCAATGCACAGATCCTGCCACTGCTTTTGACATTTCAGGCGATAATCGACAGTAAAGGCTCCCAGATAAGCCACAGTTCCTGATGACAACAGCACATCCCCTACTAGGTCTATGTACTGAATTCCTAACAGCCGTGCAGCTTCTGTCCATCTGTCCTTCTCTCCACCCAGACCACTGATCAGCTGTTCAGCTCTCACAAGCTTCAGTGAACAACGTTCAATATTATTCTCTAACTCTATCTTTTTGTTATTCATTTCATCAAACTCATCTTGCAGAGCCTGAAGGCGATCAACAACCTCCTTAAGCTCTGCTTGTTTCACTTGCAGCTTCTGCATCTGAACGTCCAGGATCGCTTCGGCCTCCTGCAAGCGCTCGCGCTTTGGGGCGACCACTTTCTGGACACGGTCATAGACCTCCATGGCTCGCACCCACTTGCAGAGGCCTTCACAGGCAGAGGACACGTTCTTTACAACCTCTGGCTGAAAATCTGGGTGATTCATAAACTTCTCTCTAATTTTCTTCATTATAGCAGGAGGAATTCTATCCTTGTCAAATGATTTTAATCTGTCAAGGAACTTAATATCTGAAAGAAGTTTTTTGGCTGGCCCCCAGAAGTCTTCAATCATTTTACCTATATTGCAAATAAGACTAAAATCAGGCTTAATACAGGCATGTTCAAACTGAAAAAAATACTTTGAAACATAGTATGAAGAATTAACATCAATGATATGGCAATTAAATTTTACTATGCAAAGACCATTAAATAGTTCGGGAAAATCATTACTTAAAGGAATTAATACAGGACCTTCAATGGCATATTTATTAATTGCATATTAATTCTAAATTAACCAAGCATATTAAGGGAAACAAATTACTATACAGTCTTTCTTAGCATCATCTATTAGATAAATCAGTAACTGTAGAATTATTCCTTCTTGATCTAGATAAGATCATTTTGGATGAAAGGCATTTATATAATTCTTATTTTTAATTATGAAGGGTTGAACTGTATAAGGTAGAAGAAAGAAAAGGGTCTCTTTTCTACCTTGCAAATCCTGTGCAATCCCACAATCGAAACCACACAGAAAAATCTTGTTAGAATAATGTATGGCAGAGGCATAACTAGAGTTCCCTCTCCCAGAATAACTGATAGTTTGGAAGCAGGGTTTACAAGGAGAAACACAGGCATATGGTGCACAGCACACCTCCAGCACCCAGAGTTCCTCAAGGCAATGCAAATCTCAAGGCTGGGTCAAAGCAAGTTGAAGAGATGACTTTGTGCTGGTGACTGGGATCATATTTACAAAGCTTGTACAACAGTATCAGACAAGGGCAGTATGTGCATGGCACTACTTGGTGCACTTGTCACTGCCAGCAAAATGCACCTCCAGTGCACACAGCTGCATTCATGCCAGAAGCACCTGACCAGCACACCACAGCAGCACGCACACGTTCCTGGGGCAGGGATAACAAAAGCTGTGTCATTACCACTGCCACTGGGGTCGGGTTTCCTCTCTGGTTTAACTGCCCTCATGACACAGATACTCTCCATGACGAGCTTGACAGGACCAGGTGGATTCTGCATGGATTTCACAAGAGTGATGTCTGAAGGATTCAGGGTGTTCAGAGCTGCCTCTGCTGCCTCCAGAGCTGGCAGAGCCTCTGCAAGGTCTGCTTCACATTCATCCTGTGAAGATATTGGGCAAGCTGTAAACCTTCACACAGTACCAGGCTGCAGCCTGATCACCCCACTACAGCACAGCCTCACAGAACCTTCTCTCTTGTTCAGTACCCATTAACTAGACTCTTCACAACATTGTGTTTCTAGGAGAGAAAACGACTTGCACAATTTGACTGCACAGTTTAAAGAGGGAAGGTTTGTAGATAAATTAGTAACTTCCATAAACTGAACTGATAGTTGAAAAAGTCAGATAAGCTTTCAAGATCAAAGTCTCTCTGGTTTAGCAATGAGAATTAAAAAAAAAAAAAAGATTAGATATAGTTGTTCTTATTTAGATCTTACAGTGCTGATCAGGTGAAAAATGGATACTGTGTAGTTTAAATTCTTTATCATATATTCTGATCTCAGCAATTACCCATATTAAATATCACTGACATTTCCAGCTAGTTACAGAAAAAATATTGAAAAATCTTGAGGCTTCCCACAGGAAATTCTGTGTTACAGACATCTGGCTGTGGTATTACCTCTAAAGTTATGCCTAATAGGACTACATGCAGCATATGCCAAATTACCTCAGCTAACTCTAAATTAACCATCTTTGGGCCTGGAAACAGTTAAACTCATTATTCAAGCTGTTGAAAATGAGAATATATTAGTAGAGAAATAAGAGCTATACAGCTTTTGGAATGTGAACTAGAAAGGGAAGCTGTGCAGGGCTGTGAGATGCAGTCAGACTCCAAACAGCCCGAATTTACTGTGTTTCTATTAGGAGCATGTCATTCATCATCTGCAATTTTGTTACTTTAAGTCACCCCATTAACACATCATCACATCATCACAGCTCCCATTTACTTGGAACCGTCCTGCTCCAGGCTCAAGCCCTTGTGCTCTACCTTAATTCCCTGGGCAACAGCAGCTGCATCATTGGCCTCTTTTTCATCTGCTGACACTATTGCCTTTTTTGCATCTACTTCAACTGTTTCCTTTTCAATCTTGACCATCATTTTATCTGTTTCTGCAGACGTTTTAATCAGTTCAGGCTGAAGATCAGTCAGTTCTTTCTGCATGTCTGCAACCTGATGAACACAACAGGAAATCAAGAAGAAATCTGTGCAAACATTGCATGCATTTTATATCTTGATGCCTTAGGAATAAAGACTGGAAACCTCTATAGTAATACAATCTAAAAAAGGACATGTGATCTAAAGAATTAGTTCTCTAGTTTATTTTTGCTAAGAGCTGTTTCATTTAATGTTTCATTGATTAGATTTTAAAAGGTATATTTGTCATCATCTATAAAATACACTTGATTTTTAAGCTTCATTAATGTCAATAATGAGAAATATATTGATTAATTCTATTTTTCCATCACAGTCACTTTCAAATAATGAAAGTCAAAATAATGCTTCAGTGCACAGGTGGAAAATAAAATCCAAAAGAAGCTTGGAATGGAACACAGAATTTGTGACAGCAACAGCTGCAAACTGGATCTTCTTCTTCATCCAGCAAGTGTTTAGAAGCCCCTTTAGTTTGTATCTTGGAAAGATCAATCCCTGGATCACATGGGTTGAAAAAGGAATTATTTATCTGGAACCTGATCAATTTTCCTGCTTGGAATCTACTCAGAAATTAATGCTTAATATTGCCTTACACTGCTTTTTCATTTTTCCCCTATTTTGGAAAGCTGAGGTAGATTCTCCATATAAGGTTTTCAGAAAATAATGAAATGTATAATGTTTAGTCTTCAACATTTAACAAGTACCTTCATTTTAATTCTGTTTTCCATTAACAGCTATAATCCAAATGTAGAGATCACAGTTTCTTTAACTTACTAAGCAGAAATCTAACTTTTCCTGCTGGCTTTCAGCATCTTCATCTGAAACTTACTTGTGAGGATGCAAATTCAAGCTTTTCAAGTCCCACAAGATAACGAGTCCTCATCATGTCAACTTCTTCCCTTTTTCTGTTCAGCAGGGTCTTGAAGGTGAGAATCAGCTCCACGTAGGAAGTTGGTGTCACGTAGTTGTGTCTGCGCAGCGTAGCGTAGTACCCGACAGAGAGCTCTCTCACACTTTCTTGGAAATATTTGCACACTGACACAACCCTAGGGAAAAATTTTCCGCATTACTTTGAAAATACTGTCTGTCTTTAGGTCAACTATCAAAAAATTACTCTAAGCTTATGAAGTCATATTAGTGTTAGGGAAGGCAGAAATGTATTTTCCTCATTATTAGAAATATTATGGACTCTTCTCAAAGAGTGGTGTGGTTTTGAGAAACATCAGATACATATGTCTCAGTATCTTTGACTTGCACTGAAATGCCAGAGTTGGCTTAGCTTTGTCCATTTATAAGGACAGATCAAATACATTGGGGCACAAAGGGCAGGGAAACCAACTTTTGCTTCACATGTTTCTTGAGAAATAAACTCATACTCTTTTCTAATGTCATCTTTGAGCTCAATATCTTCTAAGAACTTGTTAGCAACCATTTCCAAAGCATCTGTAGGCCAGGTTTGGAACCAATCAATGGTGCAGCAGTTTATCAGTGAAGGGAACATCCGTAGTCGATTCCGAAATGCATCTCCAATAGGACTCATGGCTGCAAAAATAAAAACATGATCATTACCTAAGTTTCTTTGCAGTTAGGAAGGAGAAAAACAAATAAACCCATTCTAAGAAACAACATATTGTATACAGACCTAAGACAATATGCAAATTTTTCTTCACCCTTTCAATAAAGAAATTGTACATAGCAAGAGGCGTGGCTTCAATTTTCCTGTTCTCCATCCTTGCTGCACTTTGCATTTTCTCAACAATTTCAGCTTTCTCATCCGCTGCGAAGATATTAGGCACATCCCCAGTATTTAAGAGCATGTTGATATCTTCTACAAATGATTCATCCTTTATTTGATTATCGCAGAACAAAAAGGACAAGTTGTTGTTACCAACACCTGTTTTCAGCATGACTTGTTTAATATCATCTTTCCATTCACTGATGCCATAGGACTTGGTGATTTCGATCTGGAAGAGCTCAAAGGAATTCATGAAGGTGGCGAGCTTGGTCGCGCTTTGCCGGCCGCTCCCGCCAACGCCCACCAACAACAGGTGTCCATTATCCTGTTTCAGTACCCTGCATATCCTGGAGATGTGCTCAATGGCAAACTGGAACATGACCAGGGACATGGGGGCCTTGCTGATATTGTTGTATTCCTCAAGATAGTATTCCATCACGCTTGTCAGCTGCTTTAGGTCTGTGATTTCATCATAAATTTTGACAGAACTACTCGGCTTTAAATAGTCTCCAAAGAACAGGGCACGAATATTATCATCAGTGACTTTTCCAGTAGGTGAGAGATGACTCAGTACCTAGCAAAAATACAAGAATCAACAGATAATTCTAGCTATTAGAGAATTATATTCCTTAAAGTCGTAATAATCCTTATCTACATAGCATTAATACTGCAGAAAGCTCTGCTTTTCACTGTTCTAGTTACAGCCTTGGTCTGGAAAATAATACTGTAGGCTGACATGCAGGTTTCCACATATGCATACCTCACAGAAAAATACTGCTGTCAAATACAGGATAGTTCTGAAAAGGCTTTTCAGAAAGGTACCCACTATACCCATGGATCATCCAAATAATTATCGTGGGTAAAAACACAGATAAATGCTGTGCAAGACATTTGTTTCATTCCAGCTGATCTTCTCTACTAACTCAGAATCCCTCAGAAGTTATGAATCATTCTGATATGAATACTCAATGCTGAATAGAAGATTGTCCATACTTTTTAAATTCAGTGATCAAAATATTGCAAAATGCCTCCAATATTGATTTAATTTCAATGTTTAAGTATTTCTGAAAATGCATCAGTATCATCTTGGACCCAGCACATTACCCAAAAATACCTTATTAAAGTTCTGCTTGAAGCTATTTAATGTTGTCTCTTGTACCATCTGAAAGAAAACATTCTTGTCCTCGTCATCAACCAAGCGATCATAGAAAACTCTGTAAACCTCATGAACCCAAAGTCTGATCAGTTTATCTCCATCCTGAAAATGGAAATACAAAAGAATGGGTAAATATAGCTCAGGCAGGATTTGTTCAAAGAGAAAAGGTTAGAAATGTCCATCTGGACCCTGCTATACCTTGTACTAAACTCAGTGGGAATCTTTCAATCCCAAGCCATTCAGCACATGGCCCAGCATCTGCTAACTTAACTGGATTCCTCACCTAGTTAACATCTTGTCTTTCCTGCCAACACAAACTGGGACTATCATGTCAAAGCATTTTTTCTCTACTGTATCAAATCAAATTTTATTAACAAAATGACAGCTCTGTCCCTCAGAAACAGACAGAAAATATGTAACAAGGAGTTCAGAGACTATTCTGATCTTAAACCCTGTAAATCTATTGAAATCATAGTTCATGTATTATAAAAATAATTAACTTTTTTCACTGCTCTCTCCTATGTCAACATAATTAAACTATAACTTACTTGCAAATGAGTGTGTGGACAGAGCAGAACTCCTTTAATAACCCTGGAAAAATCCCTCAGATTAAAGACATAGTGGGATTTTGAAGGAGTTGGGAGAAAATTATCAACTGCCAATTTATACAGCACCGATGTCGCTTGGACCATCATCTTACCCAGCCTTAAGAAGGAAAAGAAATACAATTTTAACTTCTGCAGATAAAACACAGGGAAAAGACAAAGCTGCTACAGTAAATAGATCCCATTACCTCAGAAATGAAGAATCAAAGCCTTTACTGAAGTGCCAGTCAGTAACTGCAGTAAAAATCTTGGTTAAAATGTCATCATTGAAAGCACAGATAGAGACAATATTCAAGTGCCGTGTGAAGCGTCCTGTAACACACACAGAAGGATGCAGAGAGATTTAAATAGTGAGATATTTTTCTACCTTTCAGCTTTCTTCTTCTAGATTTGCCTGTCACTAAAAAAATTTGTATCTGGCACCAGCTTCATAATTTTTGCCCTGCCAGCGAAGCAAAAGAAATATAAACTGGATTACATTTTCTATTAGTATTTAACTTAAAACAACTGTTTTGAATATGTAAAACATGAATTTCCATTACAAGGCTTATTGCCCAATTTAAAATTTCAGCTCACATCAGCCTTTTGATTATGATATGACACAGTAAAACCTTTACAAAGTCAAGCATCTTGTTACTGGCTTTCACCTAAAAAGAATCAGTCTATACATGAGTAAATTTTAGAAATTTAGCTGTATCAGAAGAGTTATTTTCCTCCTCAGAACACACAGAGTTATATCAGTATCACGGTGTTTATAAGAAGCAAAGCAGCATGAAGTGCCTTATAACAATTCAGCTGTATATAGCCTGTAAGAATGTAGCTGCAGCTACATTAGGGCTTTTATTTACATAATTTTTTCATTAGAAAATATAACCTCCCTTGTGGTGCTGTGACAGGAATCATGGACTTGCAGGTAACATTCCTGGAAATAAATGCAGACAGCCAGCCTTAACAGCAGGAGATACAGCTTCAGAAGAGACTTGCCAGAGACATGGTAAGCAGATGTATTCCCTCCCTTTTCCAAATAATAGAAAACAGAAAAAATCTCCATCGCTAATTTTAGAATAACTTCCGTCATTCACAGTTTAATCAACTCTAAAAATGGTTTCTAATGGTGATAAAACTCCCTCTGGTAGAGGTACAGATTTGAAGTTGAACATAACAGACCTTTACTTGGAATGACCCACTCAGTCAATGCACCTGTAGATCCACCAGTCATAGATAAATGACTTTGCCATCAGCAAACCTGAACCCGCCCCTTAACTTCAGTCTGCTGGATAACCACCTGCCACAGTAATGTATTTCCTACCTGTAATGTCATTCCTGCCTCCCCCAGGGGGACCCATAGCTGTGACAAGCAGGACATCTATGATACTGATGTGGGATGCATCCTTCCTGTCGTACCAGTGCCCGTGATCAATCCATTGCCTGAGAAGCTCAATAGCTGGCTGGGCTCCATAAATTTCCTTTTCAGGCATGTTTAGGTCATCTATGGAGAACACAGACATTGAATAAAAAAACCTCAGTGTTTAGGAATTCAGTTTTCTTCTAAGAAGGAAAAATAACTGAACTAGAGGTAGGAAAAATAGCTGAACTAGAGGTAGAAAAAGGCTGTGTGTTGTTGTTCCTGCTGCCCATTGAACTAACCAAAATCAAATACCAATACACTTCACAGGCATAATTAGGGTGATGGCTTAACTTAGTGTGCCTGGTGATTTTGTTTTATTTCACGTCATGTCCCACTGCAATTCTAAGAACTCTTCTGAAGACAACCACCACTTAAACCTCTCAGCAAGGGCAGTGCTAATCCTTTGGTGATCCCTCTACGCCCCTTCCAGCACAGGAGATTCTAGGATTCTCTGGATGCCTGAAAAAAACACTAAGGCAATCCAAATTTACTAGTCTTGGTGAACCACTTCCTTTGCCTAAAACCAGAACAATAATGAGCTTTAAAAAATGAAAAAAATATGTCTTACCCACAAAAATTATAGCTTCTTTCCCTGCTGGAGGTCCAAATAATCCTTTTCTTCTTCTGTCCAGCTTGGACATAATAATATCCTGGGTCTGGTTAGCAGATGTTCTTGCAGAGAAGTTGATGAAACTCGGGATGTATTTTTCCTTTGGAAGTTTCAGTAGAAAGTTGTTTGTTATAGCTGTTTTTCCAGTACCAGTGGGACCCACAAAAAGCAAAGGAACATTATGCTCCACATATGTTTTAAGAAAAAACATTTGTCTGGCAGTTTCCATTGTTGGAATGATCAGATCAGATACCTGTTACAGGAAGGTAAAATAAAACATGAAAATCAACATTAATATTTGCAAGCAACTACAGGAACCCTGTAGCACAAATGCATTTTTAAAATTTCTATTGTCTGAGAACCTGAGCTATAACAAGGTTCTAGTAAATGCTATGGCCCCACTTCTTGTTCATGGCTTATATAGTCAATAGCACAACCAGTATTACCTATATTGTGGTTCATGGACATTATAGAAAGCCTGGAGAACTACAGAGTCAAGTATGGCCTAGTTCTGTTCCCCTACTGTGCAAGGGAAAGGAATAATAATACGGAATTTTTTTTCTCTTCCTCATTTTTAACTTATAATTAGCAGCAGTGGATTTGATATCAAGAAAAGATTTTCAGCAGCAGAATGAAATGTCATCTTACATCTCTCATGTACTTAAGACAATGGCAACTATATTCAGTGGAATGAAAAGCTGAACAAGCTTAAGTTATCTTGAAATTTCATGTGCAGATCTCTGCTGTGCTTCCCTTCCATTCAGTTCACAGCTGTCATCAAAATCTGAGTGCCCCTATTTGGAAATGGAGGGGATCCAGGACTCTCAGTACTGTTTCCCACATCCCAAAGTCTCTTTGCTTGCTTTCTCTGAATAATTCATAGTACAATATCATGAGATCAGCCACTGAAAATAGAAATGAAGGAATGGAAATTCAGGCTTTGGCTTTTTCCCACCATGGTTTCCCCAATATCAGATGCTGTCAGAGAACAAAGCAGAACTCAAATTTTAACCACCAGGCAATCTCAGGGCTCCATGTGCACCTGCAGTGCTGAACTTCCAGTGTTAGTGGTACCAGAACTGAAAAAGCATGAAAGGGAGCTCACAGAGACTAACGAAATGTTGCAAAGCAATCATCCAACAGCCTAATATAGTTATTTATACCTCTAAATTATTTAGTCAAATAATTATTTTCCATAATAAAGATACCAATGTGCACCTTAGCCGCTGGGGCAATAACTTGCTCTTCCTTTGTGATGTAGTCTGTCCACATGTTCCACTGCCCATGGCCACGCTTGTTAAAATAGAAGTCAAAAACACTCCCTGTTAATTGAAAAACACAACATAGGAAAACTCACTGATTAAATTATAAAAATAATCTTCATTAATTTTAGTGTGAGATTTCCAAAACTGTGAAGTAATGGAAGCTTTCTGGTACACAAGATACACCCCCACCCCCCCAGTGCCATTATCATCACTAAAAGATTTTAGGTCAGATTCAGCCACAGTGTTTGAGTATAACTGGAGGCATATGCTACTCCTGGTTAAAAGAGACAGGGAAGGGCACCCAACTGTGCAGCCCGAGGCCTGGCAGATGGTGGCTCTGCTGCAGACTTAACATCTGCCAGGCACACCAAGTGCCAAGCTTTCTTAATGCTTTATAACAGACCAAGCAAGCACAGTTATGAAGAAGCACCTTTTTCTGGGAAGATATTGCTTTTGTTAAGCTTCACATTTTTAGGGCGTGGGTTTTGCTCATTCATTCCGTTGAGCAAGTTGCGGTAAAACGAATCAAATTTTCTTCTGCTGTCTGCGTCGATGATCCCTCCAATTGTCCACACCAAAGCAAAAAGGAAAAGGGCCTGCAGCCATGAGGTGATCTGCTGAGCAGACATGGTTTCACTGTCCTCTTCATCACATTCCTTAATTTCATCTAAAACACATATTTTATATTTCAGTTAAATGCCAGTAATAACCATACATCCCAATTCAAAATGCATTTTTTCAGAAGTATCCTGAGACAAAAGTATAGCACTGTCTTCAGTGGAATGAAGCCAATCTACAAATGGAGGATCTTGTCTGTGTAAAACACTGTTTACAAATAAAAATGAAATTAGAAGAAAAATAGTCCTAACCCTTTTCTTCAGATGGTAGCAAACAGCAAGCAAAACATAGACCATACTTGCAAGATCATGTTTAGCTTTGTAATGACACCAAATGTTTTCAAATGTGAAAGCTCTGTATGCAAAGAGCTATTAATAATACTGATCAGTGAGATCACTGACTGTGTTATATGAACTCAACAGTAAGGAATTCCTTTGCCATTTCCTTCCATCTTATAAGCTGCATTTTGTCCTGGGACATGGCAAGAGAAAAAAGAAAAATTGAAATAAAACCAGGTGGCTTAGGGTACTTACCAAGGAGGGAAGAATAGAGTTTCATCAAGCTGTTACTCAGGTGAAGAGGGGACGTTTTTACCATGAATTTGCAATGATGGTCAATAAAATCTAAACAAGGCTCAACTAGCCACATAAACAAGTCATTGACCTACCAGGAGAAAAAGAAACAGCTGTGTGATGATGCAGGACTTGCCACATTCCCCATTGTCCCTCAATTCACCCTCAGTCAAACATAAGGCATTAGAAATTGTCCAGGTTGGCAGAGAGATCAGGAAAGGGCCCGTGTGAGACAATACTGAAATGTTCACAACATCTGTCTGATGGTGAAAACAGGTTGCTTTTACCATAGAGAAGTTTTCAGCAGGAATTATTTTACCCACTTACTAATCCAGACAGCAGAGCAGAAGCTCAGTCTAGAGAGACTCCTGTCTTGCTTAGGCAACAACAAAATTATTCCAACAGAAACAAAGGCAAGAGTTTCATCCTCCCTTAAGAAGAGGCCCCCTACAGAGGACCTAGTACAGATACTGTGCCACAGCAGAAATTCCAGCATGCTGGGGCTGACTGGGGCCTGCAGGAGTGCCACAGCATGTGGGTAAATACTGACCATGGCTGGTGGTATCTGCTCTCTGAACTCAAGCTGCAAAACAGGACAGAAATCAGGACCTACCCTTTTCCCAGGGAATAGTACTGAAGGGGATACACCAAAGGGTCAAGCTATCTGTTACTTAAGGAATAATTACTTTACTCTGATGAACTAAGAAAACTATAAATAAAGAGCTCTTCTAGTCTTGGTACTTCTTTGAAATTTGATTCTAATTTCCTGCAAAAACTCAAAGGAAGTCTTCTCAAATAATATAAGTGAGTTTTGTACAGCTCCAGTCCTAATATTATTCCAATTATTTTACTAGATTTCAATGCCCAATAATAGTGATTTAAAATTTTCATTAAAAGCTGATTCTCACCAACACCTATTTTTATTTGCATCTACAGAGAACATAGTACAATACCCAGCACAAAGAGCTCTCCTCCTACAAGCAGAGAGGTGAAAAAGGCTTTGAAGACTAAACTGTTAATGGCAATAATAAAAGTTTTGATTCTGCATGCCTGCCTTTAAGTGGGCAAACTGTGAATGTCACTTTATAGTTAATCTTCTAAATTAGACCTGTGCAAAAAATGAAGTCTCGCACCAGCTCTCTGTGTTCTTCCTTCAGGTTTGGAGGCAGAGTTTTCATGTAGGAATCCTTCAGTGGCTTCCAACCCAACTGTTGTGGGTCCATATAGATCATACCACATCTGGGAAGAACAAACACATGTGGTAGAGGAATAAATGTGCAAGGTGGGACAGTTGAAGCTTGAATGTTCTCACATTACCTGCTGACAGTTGCTGGAGATGCCTGCTCCAAGTCTGCTGGCTCAAAGATTAAACTCATTTTTGAGCTCATCTGAATTATTTCACCGCTCATCAAGCATAACTGGAAGAAGAGCATCACATAAACATGGTCTAGTCATGTTAGTGCTGATCGTACAGTCAAAGCAATGTCTGTCATAAAATCACTGAACATTCCCCTTAGTGTCACTCCTCATTCATTCATTTGTATCCTTACAATACATGATATTTTATGACCTTGTCTCAACTTTTCCATGTCTTACTGTAAGACTTGCAGAGACACAGAGAACAATGCTCTAGCTTTAAATAACTGCAAGAAAAAGCAGTTATGATCTGCAGCTTTTTTAAAATTCACTTATTCTCAAGGTAATTTAAGCAAGTTCAGTTTTCAGTCACAGAGCTGAGTCCATGTATTTCAGTTTCCTAAAAGGGTTAATAAAAAAGTCTCAATGATCAACCTCATTTCAATAAAGAAGGAGCAAGACAAGACTTCTAGGGCAAAGTATTGGGTTAATATTATCTAATACCATCTAAATCCACTCATACAACTGGGAAAATAAAGCAGTGCTTTTAGGCACATCAGCCTTTGCTGAATTTCACACCTCCTTAGAGTAATGTAGTAACAATATTGCCATTACTAAAATTAAGTATGTTTATTCAAGGACAAGGGTAGGGGCAAAAATTAGGCTACCTTTTTGTTATCATCCAGCACAGTGTTCATGTTCTCTATCCAAACTGCATCCACAGGGCCATCAAAAATAATCCACTTGCGATCATCTGTGGTAGAAGATGCTTGTTCCCTGAAGGCCTTTGCAAGAACTCCATCTGACCACTCGTGGCTTACAGGATCAAAACTGCCATACAACTGCCCCATGGTAATGGCTTTGGGATTAATAACTTTGTACTCAACAGCAAACTCATCCATGGTGTTTGCTGTGTAAAAAGGCAAATACATGAGGTTGAGAATTTGATAGGTTAGTTTTATTCAACAGCTGGACAAGATGATTCCTGAGGATCCTACTCCAGCTGCTCAAAGCAAAAAACCCAGATATGTGGTGCCTAGGTAGCAGTAAATAAGAAATCCCCTTACTTGTACAAGGCAAGCAAGAAGTTTGCTGTAAAAAAATACATATAAAAAAGATAAAGCAGAGCAGCATAGATTTCATATATTTATGGGAGCTACTTACAATATCCTATCAGAGCTAATTATCTCAAGAGTGTTATGCACAAATAAAATGCCTAAAAAAATGTAGAAAAACATAAACACATGAATATGGCTTACTATTCCAGTAGATATAGAGAAAAATATTATCAGACAAATATACCAGACAAAAATAGTTAAATTAATAGAAATTCTGCAGTCAAGAAAGAAGAGTATAGGACAATTAACAACCTGGGCACATCTCAGCACAGAAAAAATAACAGTCATAGAATTGACTTCATGGAATGAGAAGCTTGTGGCTGGACAATGTTACCTGCACACAAATCAGCCAGGGCTCCAGCCAGCACTTTGTATGAACTGGTCTTCCCACTCATAGGATCTCCAACAATCATGAAACCATGGCGCACCAGCATCATTTCATACACCTGCCAGGGACAGGAGAGCCACTCCTTAGATGGCACAAAAGAAGTGTTACGTGTTATGTGAATGAAAATAGAAGTCTCCATCCTGCATTCAGATGTGACAGAACCAGATCCCTGCACTCTGCTGGCTGATCAAAGCCTGAATCCAAATCAGAGGGCAGTCATGCTTTTATGGCAATTCTCACTGGAACAATTTAAGAAGCTGTTTTCCCCAGGCATCCTCCTTTTCTCCTTGCTAAATGTTATCCCTCAACTGCAACAGCAGCACTGTACAGAGTGTGAGAGCACTAACCAGACACTGCAGATCACAGCCCTGAGCTGAAATCAGTGATTACCAATGAACTGACAAAAAGGGACTGAAACTACAGCTCTGAGCATCTGGCATATGGTCAGTCCCATAGAGGCTGATTTTGGACTGCAAGAATGGTGACTTCTTCAGTCACCCCACAAGATCTTGTCAAAGCTCAACTCAAAACAAAACCACCATCAAGCAGACCTGTAAAAACTCCTAAGCAGATTTTTTTTATCCTGTTAAGGCTGATATTTCCTATTTTAACTTCCTAACCAGTTAACACTACCCCTATTTAAATGAAAGATACATTATGGTTTAGGAAGCAGCATAAGGCAAATCTGAACATAAGGCATGAAATCTGAACTGCTATTGGAGAGGCCACTGATGACACTGGCCCAGGCCACACATTTTTACCCTTGCCATTACCCTGTCACTAGGCTGCACAAGAAAAAAGGTTAAATATTGTTTAAAAGGTCCCCAGTACTAGTAAATGGGAGGCAGTGGGAACACAGGACTGCAAGGAAAGCATAGGCAAGGTCACCTCTTTCAAAACTTCTCAAGGGGACTTACAGAACTGGGAACAGCCTGACTCCCAGTCCAGCATTCTGTTCACTGGGCTACACTGCCTCAATTAGTAACAGATTCAGATCAATTTTCTATCCTGAAACACAAGCCCTACAGTGTGGCTGCACACATTAGCTCCTTCACAGACTGAATTACAAAATCACTATGACCAAAACAGGCTTTTATTCCATGATTTGTACTCTGTAAAAATACCCCATTTGTAATATTCCATTAATTGGTAAGGAAACTATCAGCTATTCATGATGACACAGACAGTGAATGAAAAGTGTTTCTGCTCTCAAGCTTTTCTTCCCCAGAAGTATGTGAAAATAAACCTGAATAATTTTTCCAATGAACCATGGCACAGGCTGAAGATTCAATTTTTCAATATTTTCAGTGAGTGCCTTGATAAATAGGTCATAGTCTGGTGTAGGAAGAACCACTCCAGGAAACAGGTCAGATATGATACCCTGTTAAAGAAAGACAGAATAGAACACTATTTAAACACAGGTTACAGAAAGAGAAAATTCCCAAGTAAAACAATATCCATACAGATAACAGAAGCTTAAAACCAAATGTCCTCAGCTGGCCAGACCTAACTTCTAGGCAAACTGTAGCCATGGAAGTATTCTGTACACATGAAACAGAAACCTGTGCCTGCAGTTTTCATGAACACCTTGCTACTGTAAAAAGAAGCTTAACCTTTGCAAATTTTCCCCCATCAGGATTACACAAAATGGCGTGAAAGTAGTTGAAAGAATTTCAGTGATTAAATAGAATGGTATGTGTTCCCAAATTTCAGAGCAGTAACTCTGGCTGTGCTTCTACCCTAGCTTTTAGTCCTCAATATTGAGTGCTTTGTATCTTAATTTATTTGCTATTAAAGCAGCATGCAAACAGAAACATCATCATTTTTATTCTGAACTCAAATTTCTAAATTACCTTAATTTATCCACATCTCTTTTGGAGCCAGAAAGCAAACTTCAAAGTATGATTTTGAATGAAACAGCACAAGATTATTTTTAACAAGATATCATCTACAACATTTTATAGAATAACTTTAAAGGCACCATTGAAAGTTTGCTTTTCAAAATAATCCTAACGGAACCAAGGAGTTTCTCCAGAAGTGGACTGAAATAACTCTACACAGATATGGCAGCATCCAGACCAAACTGTTGCAAATTAAGATAATGACCTATTTTTGTGAGTTCTTATAACAGATCTGATCATCATAAAACCTAAAAGACGCTGGCCTGATACCTTACCTGAAACAATGGCACATCCTGGGACAAGAACTTGGCCAAATTAACATCCAGCAAAGCCCGAAGCAACAAGACACTTTCATTTTCAGCTGGGTACTTCAGTTTCAGGTTCCCTGCTGCTGTCAGGACAGATTTCACTGCACGCATCCCATAATCATAGTGGTGCTGAGATGACAACTGCTCTGAGCACAAACGGTAAGTGGCAACAATCTTCTGGGCAAGACTGTGGATAATAAAATATAACATGTAGAGTGAAAACATCTCACCATGCAAGGAAAATAATTCACCTTCCTATATACACAAAGTATCTGCAGTGATTCTAAGACACAGCAGCTGACAAGATGGCCCAAGACACCTGGGAAACAAAACTGCTACAGAATGTGTGCATCATCTAGGAATTCTGTATGATCTTTTCATACATTTTCCAAACGATTCTGTGTAGAAGTGCACATCTGGCAACATGAGGTGGAAAATGAGAATTGACAAGAAAGCAGAAGATTAAAAAATGCTTTCTAGAGAAACAAAACATGGACAGCCTTCCATTTATGCCTCAAACACACATATATGACTTATAGAGGAATGAGGTATATCAGACTCAACAAAGGTAGAAATTTCAGCACATCTTACCTCTTAGAATCCAGAAACCCCATTGAATAAAGTGAAATTTCCCCAATCAAGGCATAATCTGGGACCATCATGGCAACTGTTCGGAACAGTGCCTGCAAGGAAAAAAGTAAGATACCAACTTTTGACTGTGGAATACTGTAATAAATTGTGCCTGTTTTGTAAGACCAGCATCTCTCCATAAATTCATGAATGCAAAGAATTCATGAATCATCTGAAATCTATGAGACTGCTTTAGAATTCTATTCTCTTCTGATCTTATCAAGAGGTTCAAGAGGTCTGTGCTAAGCACTGCAGTAACAAATGCTCAGAGTCAATTCTAAAGAATTGTGAATAGAGGAAAAGGGAGGTGACATTGATCTCACTTTCATAACAGACAAACCAGCACATGGTGTGGTTAATGCTTTGTAAAAGATCGTGCAAAGAATTGTGGCAATGTCAGAAAAAGAACCAGGACCATACCAGTCTCTCCGTAGTATCTCAGCAACTTGCAAAGTTATAACAAATTTAAATTGGGATTTGGATCATTGGATCATTGTAAACCCAGAGAATTTCCAATGAAGGAGAGCACAGTTAAAGCTGTTAATTGGTATCAATATGATCAGACTGACACCCTTCTTCTGTGCATTTTGCACAAACCTAACTGTTTACTAAAGCTTGGTGAAAAGCACAGCACTTGGATAGGTTATCAGTTGTTCTAGTTTTGTCTGGCATAGAGTTAAATTGTTTCACAGTTGCTGGCCTGAGGCTGTGTTTTGGATTTGTGCTGGAAACAGTTTGATAATTCAGGGATGTTTTAGTTGTTGCTGAGCAGAGCTCACACAGAGTCAATGCCTTGTCTGCTCCTCACCCCACACACCAGCCAGGAGAATGGGTGCACAAGGAGCTGAGAGGGGACACGGCCAGGACCCCAAGGGATATTCCAGAGCACATGGGGTCATGCTCAGCAGAAGTAGCAAGGGAGAGGATGTTCAGAGTGATGACATTTTTCTTCCTTAAGCTAAGCAACCATTAGACATCAGCTTATTATTCAATTGATGACTTTTTTATTATTATAGACAAGAAGTCACAAATTCAGTTCAATTTCTACAAGAAAGCAGGATTTCAGACTTACCTTCAGATTATCAGGCAACTCTGCCCGTCCAGCATAGCCAGGATTCATGGTAATAAACACAGCACATGTGGGATTAAGAGAGATCTCTGTCCCTTCAAAGATGAATTTTTTGAGTTGGCGAATTATAGCTTGCTGGATGCTAAGTATTTGCTGGGCAACTACAGATAATACTTCAACCTAATACAGAAGAACAGATTGGAAAACATAAGACACTTGGAGAACCAATAAAAAATGGCTTTGTTTACATATTTTGATGGCTGTATTTGCATTCCTCCAGGCAAAAATCTCCCTGAGTCTATGTATTAGCTGTCCATTGAAGGGATGCTCTGAAAGTTAGTGCCACTATTCTCTACTCGGCTAACAGAGACTGATCAACAGAGGCTTCTAAAAGCCTCCTCAGGGAAATACTGTGTGCCTGAATGTAGGCATCTAAGTTAGTTGGACAGGAACTCCCTCTGGAGGCCTCTATAAGCACTTTCCCTTCAACTCATACCAGAAAAACTGATTCACTCAATGCCCAAAATTGAGAGTAAATAATAGCTGCAGCTACTGATTATTTGAAAGTATCAAGGTAACAGAATATTGGAGAATAAATGCTAATGATTGAATTCACTAGAAAACAAGCTGCAGCTGAAACACGGAAAAATTAAGGAGTTAAAGATACTAATACATACAAAATAGAATTCACTGAAATTTTCACATTTACTAGTATGTACTTAAATGGAATTTCATCAGAGTAATGATAAAACTTATCCAAAGTCATTAGTGACCAAATTAAACATAACCAAAATGACCAGAGTAAGATCAAAGGGAGAATTAGATGTGTCAGTATACACAGCTTGATAATCAAGTCACTCAGATAGTGACACTCAGCTCTAGTCATTACAGGAATCCCTCCACTGGGATTTGTCTGTCTTGTGCTGAACACAGACAAATGCAACTCCACACGTGTAGCTTGACTTCTCAAGGAGAAGACAAGAACATTTCTTTCCCAAAAAATGAGTGGCACATACAAAAGAAAAAAATTGTAAAGGAACATTTCTTTTGAGCTAAATTGACCCAGAACACAACACTACTGTAACACAGCACAGGTAGGCATGTGCTTCTAGAGCAGGCAGCAGTGCCTATTTCTGTGTCACTAATTATCAAAACAAATAACCACAAGTAAAAGCAGAAAATTGACAGCAATTATGCTGTCATGTCTAAATCTAAAACTTCTTGTGTCTTAAATTGAAGCTTTCTAATTTTATTTGCCTGAGTTAAAACATTACCTCAATTCTATTGAACTCATCAAAGCAGGACCATGCCCCAGCTTGTGCCAGCCCCTTAAAGAACTTGCCCATTGCCTTGTAATCGAGGCCATCGGAGCAGTTAAAGACAACACACTACAACAAAAACACACAGAACATTTCTCAGTATTACCACAAAGTCCTCCATAAAAATCTTAGCATGTAAAATGGGAAGGGATTATTGTTGCTAATTTTGCATTAGAAAAACAGGATGTCATATAGACATAGTCCTAAATGTGAGTTTGTTACCAACTATTGCCGTGAATAAAGAACAGAATCATTAGGTTGGGAAGAACCTTTAAAATGTTTGAGTCCAACTGTAAATCAATAGCTACAAAATAAGCAGCACTTGCTTAAGAATGGAATTTTAATATCTACATATCCAAACATAAACAGTGGAAAGTAAAAAAAGGGAGTTTTGGTACCTGCTTAGCTATTGCTTTTGCTAGGTCTTTTGTTGTTTCTGTTTTGCCAGTTCCAGCAGGCCCTTCTGGAGCACCACCAAGGCTTAATTTCAAGGCACCCATTAATGTCCTACATTACCAAGAACACAGGCATTAGAAATAGCAATCTTTAATATCAGGTCATTTCTGAATGGATTAATATATACATTCCTATACAGGCTCTCCTGAAAACAATTCACTTGTTTCTCTACTGACTTCACAGCTTGCCCTAAAAACCCAGTATTGTCTCATAGGTGATTCCTAATTGTGGAAGGTCACATTCAGCCACGTGGCCTAAAAGGAATGTCAAGGCTTTTATTACATACATCCTCCTTGTATACCCTCAATTACACAAGCAAATGAACAGTGCCATGAGCAAAATGGTACAGTCTGCAAAAGCACATATTTCCCTCAAATGGCACTTGAACTGGCAAGAGCTTGAAGCTGGCTTTATAAATTCAGCCAATCTTTAGAAATGCATGAGAAAGCATAAAGGTTGTTACAAAAACCTGGGAATCACATTGCTTTTCAAGTGAACATCCTACTAAAATGAGATCCCTGTTAATACTGGAGCAATCTATTTTACAAAACCATCATTCAAAGGCTTTGTCTCATGTCCTGAGGGCTCACCAGAAGTGAAATATGAAATGTCTTTGAATATTTTAACCTTGAGGACTGAAGTATTTCCATTACAACTTCTTGCACACCAGTGGAGGAGCAGGAAGCTAACTGCATTCGAGTATCTGTGAAGGGCTTTTTAATTACCTCATTTATCTTGCAGGCAGGCATACCCAAACTGTGTGCCTTACTTCAGATAAATTAATTGACCAGTGCTACTGTACAATTCTTTGCAGTTCCAATACCATGTGCTGCCAGCTCTTTTCAGAAGCACCTTCTTGGATACAGTAGAGTCTATTACTCTACTGCTGTAGAAGGCTATACACTGAAAATATTTTTACCATATTTGGGTAAAATCTACAAGAAAATGTTAGCTTCTGAGGTTCCTCCTATTATTAACTAGAATAAATGAAAGTAAACACAGATCAATCAAAAAGAAAGGCATTATTTACAGACAGTATGTCCTTACCTATAACATCGATCTGTCAGAGGGGTTATAACCAGACGTTGTGAATTGCCCAGGTACTCATAACCATATTTCATTTCTGTTGTGATCATTCTCACTATCACATCATTCTCTGCCCAGTAGTATCTCAGCTGAGAAATCCACTGGAAGTCATTCAGGTCTGTGACTTTGTCTTCAACCAATTTTGAGACCACATCACGAGCTGCAGAGTAAGACACAGATTATTTCAAAAATCTAGACACTTCTGCTGTGGTAGTTTACTTAAAACAACATTCAAGTAAAGTAACATTTACTTAGAGCTATGTAAGAGCAATTCAACATTTAAAGGCTGGTTTTCATGTTAGAGAGGAATTTGCAATTGTTTTGCAGAGGGAATCAGTTTAATTGTGACTAGATTCCAGTGTCTGTTCCAAGTAGATGGGAGACCCTTGTTCAGTACTGAACAATTCTCATTTGCCCAAAGAGTTGAGCAATAACTCTGTAAAGGCTGATTCAAGTTAGAGAAAGCATTTTAGGTGCCTCTCTCCAACAGTTCACCCAGCTACTGACAGCAGCAGTGCCCCAGATGTGCCAGGGCAGCAGCAGCTGCACATCACCGTGCACGTCGATGACAATGAGAGCTCCAAGGGTCAGCCGGGCTCCACTGGACAGCTTTCCTCTCACCAGCTCAACTATGTCCTTGATCTGCATATTGCTCTTCTCCAAGAAATCCTGCCACAGAAACAAGCACAGGCATTAATGGGATATTGTAGCCAGCAGTTCCTAAGCTCCTGTGGGTGCAATTACTGAAGACAGCCCCTCTAACAAAACATATTAATGGTAGTCTGAGCACCACACAAACATTTTAGATTCTCTTTCGTATACTGGCATTTTATTTTAATATGAACACTTCAAAAATATTTGTGGCCTGAGAGAAGGCTTATAAGCAGAAGGCCTGTATTTCTTCCTAATGGAAGTGACAAAACTCTACAGTGGAATTGGAGCAGATATTCTTTGTTTAGCTTCTCCCACACAAGAAAGAAATGGGCATATGGAACCAAGTTCATTAGCAACATGGTTTAGTTGGCTCTGCTTTAAACAGGTGTTGGACTACATGATGTCCAGAGGTCCCTTATATTCTGTGATTCCTTCTCATTTTTCTTCATCTATGGATTATTCAGGGTACTTGCTCTGAAAGTAATAAACATTTTAGTTCTGTCGGGCTATATTGAAAAAGATCTTCAACTGGTGTTAAACAATGCAAGCAAGCTAAAGCTAAGAAATTCAGTAAGGATACAGAAACAAAAAGCCATTATTAAAATGTAGTATTTGATGTAAAGTTTATTAATACTTTTCTATTTCAACATTTAAAAAGCAGCCCAAACATTCTGTTGACAGAATTAATCTCCAAATAAATCCTCATCCACCCAGCTTAAATAGGATCATTGAATTAAACAGAAATTATTCCCACCACTTGAGCATTGTTTGAGTACAGCCTCAGTGAAGTGATAGTTAAAACTCCTGTAGTGACAGAGGCACTATGAACACAGAAGAAAAGTTTCTTGCATGAAATAAATTTGGCTGCTGCACCTTCCTCACCAGAAGAGTCAAGCAATAACCAAAGAAGTCATTGGTGACCTTATCCCTCTCTACAACTCCCTGAAAGGAGGTTGGAGCCAGGTGAGGGATGGGCCCCCAGGTAACAAGTGACAGGACGAGGGCACATAGTCTTAAACTGTACCAGGGGAAGTTTAGATTGAATATTAGGAACAATTTTTGCACAGAAAGAGTGATTACACATTGGAAGGGGCTGCCCAGGGAGGTGGTGAAGTCACTGTCCCTGGAGGTGTTTAAGGAGACTGGACATGGCACTCAGTGCCAGGGTCTGGTTGAGAAGCTGCTGTTAGGTCATGGGTTGGACTTGATGGGCTCAGAGGTCTTTTCCAACCTCACTGATTCTGTGATTCTCTGAAATAACTGCACCCATCTGCAAAGAGAGATTTCTGCATGCATGTTTCTCTGAGGCTTCCCATGTAGAGAAAGGAATTAGAAATAAAAATACATAGTGTTTAACAATGGTCTGTCACTTTTTGTTTGGTACTTTAATTTACACCAGTATCACTTGTAAATGAAGTAATACAATTTCCTTCAGTAGGATTCCTCCTGATACTCCCAGAGTAAATGGGAACAAACCTGTGCTAAGACCCAATGTAAAAGGAAAAACAAAGTAAAGCACTGCATCAGTAAATTGCAAAATGTTGTTGATTGAGGATCTTCTTTGCTATAAAGAGCTTTTAATTAATTAATCAGTGTTCAGCATCTAGAAATAGAAAGTTAGAAGAAAATCTTACTTGTAAAGCTTTTTTCCTTATAGCCTCAGACACTTCTTCTGTCCAGTAAATAGATGAAATACAAATTACTGCCTGTCCAGGCCACTGAAGTACCCACTCCTTCCGAGGAACCTTAAACCAAAAGATCAATTTCAGACACAAGAAGTCGTATAAACACATTAGATTATGGCATTGAGAACAATTACTTTCCTCAAAAGTCTTATGTCTCGTGCTGCAAATAAATGAGAATCAGCATCTAAAACTTTCTTCTTCCTGAAACTTCAGAACTAAAACTTCTGATTGGTACCATTGCACAAGAAGAGCTGGATTCCACTTAGCTTCAAACATGTTTCCTTGTTTAAGAATTTGAGCAACCTATTTGTGTATATTTGTTTGTGAAATCTAACTTATACCATAGTCCAGGAATAATTACCTGGCTATATTCTTTTATGCCATCTTGAAGAACTTGTCTTACACTGGCCAACATCATTTCTTCTACTTGCAGAAGCCATTTTTCTACCATGCCCTTCAAGAAAGAAAACCAGTTAAGAGTCAATGCACATTTCCTGATTGTATCTTTCTTCAATGACAAATTATTTGAAATGTGTTAGGCTTAAAAATGCTTTCTCAGATCTGGGTGTTGTATATAAAAGGAATAAAGGTTGAAATGTCCCAAAATATGACAAGTAATACTGTAGTTTACACTGTCTGAAGGCAGGTATATAAAGACAACCCAACTAAAGAAACAGCTGGATATGTTTCATATAAGCTTAAACAAAAACACAGATTTCATCATCAGGTAAGCCTGCTCATTTTAATCCAGGGCATGCTTTGTTCCTGCAGGGTTAATATCTGTAACTCACAACATGCCCCACCTTTCACAGGAATTTACTGCAAAACTGGTATGTCTTACTCCTTCTTGTAGGAAATCCTTTTTATTCTAGAATACCAGTCTGCACTCTCACTTCCTAAACTCCTTTCATGATGTGATCCTAAATGGTTTAAACCTAATTCCCTCAAAAGCATGCACTTTATGCAATGTATTATGTATTAACCTAATTTCATATAGTAAAATTAAAAAAACCACTTACATTTGCTCTCACTGGATAGATTTTATCGATGAAAGGAACTATTTCTTTCTCTGAACTGATCATGCCTATGATCTCCAGGTCTTCTGTGAACTCCAGTTTAGCAATTCCTTCAAAACACTTCTTTAAATGTGGTTGTACTCGAAGTGGATCCTTTGTTTCAGACAGTATTTCAAGCAGCTCATCGTTGGACAGAAAAAAGAATCTGCCAGAAAAATACAATTACTTTCCAATCATGAACATTTCCATTAATAATCTACTCATACAATTGTTTTTATTGTTGCTTAAGATACTAGTGTATCAGAGAGTAAATTATTATCTCAAATCCCTTTCCTTAAGCAATTTTTAACATTATTAAACTTATCATATCTGTTTTTTCAGAATTTCAGTGCAAAGGAAGAATAAGGGTTCTCAAACTCAGGGAGGGGAGACCAGATGGCTCCAGCCAGACATTAAGTGCCCTATAAAAACCCTGAATCCTGCTCCTCATGATCATGAACAGCTCCCACACATCACACACCTCTAAAGAGGGTGAGGCAGGGACATAATTGCATATCAGCCATGGGAAGGCTCCTTCAAAAATGCCCTGTAAGTAATAATGCCTTTCTAATCCAAGTTTGCATTGTGATAGACAGATTGTGCCTCCCCATCCCCACCTGTTCTGGCATTTCACAACTGAGGAAAATGAGTTAAGTCTGGAGATGAGAACAGCTTTTCATTTTTTGCTGCATGTGACTGTGTTTCACATATGTTTATAAAATGAGACTTTTAAGTTCAGTAGAAATGGTTTGAAAGAGCGTAGAGCTTCTTGTTTCTAACTTAGGCCTGCTTAATTAATTTACCTTGGGAAAAATAATCTTTTCGACTCCAAGTAAGTATTCAGCCCCTTTTGAATGTCCTCTAAGAGAGCATTTGCTTCCTGAAGTCTGTCTAACATCTTGGGTTGTTCAGTTGCTACAAGTACCTTTGTGTCTTTCACCTTTGTAAAAACAAACACATAGCAGAAACTGCTAAAAATTGCAATAAGTTTTACATGGAAATTGTTAGCATCAATCACATATCCTGCAGGAGTCTAAAATGCTGTTATTCTTCTCTATAGTGTGCTTTCATGGTATTAAATACGTTTGCATTATTGGATAGTTTTGCTTTTCTGACTGTCAATTTTACCAACTTGATATTCATAGACATTAATGAAGGAAATATCAACAAATAAGATCTTTGGCACTTGCTCCTGTGTCTTGAGCTTGCTACATTGTTTTCCATTCACAAATAAGTTCTGTCAGAGACACAGCACACAACAATTATTCCTGTTGTCTCTTTCTGATAACACTCCTCTTCAGAGGGCTCTATTTCAGTACAGCCTCATCATTCTGAGAGTCTGAGCTGTTGGACAGGTCTCAACTCCTACTTAGTTACACTGATAATTTCAACACCTTTACCATACAACCACACACTCCCAGCATTTCTGACACACATCTCAGCTCAAACCACCACTGTCTGGCCTCTTACTCAACTTCTTATTTACAGGAATTGAACATGTTACCAAATTGCACTTGCTATCCCCATTATCTTAACCTGACACATTACTGTGACAGTCCATATTCACTAAATTTTTGAATAACCATGCTGTCACATATTAGACAATAATCCCATTAAAAAAAATCCATTTAGTTGCTCCAAAAGTGTGTACACCCTGTAAGTCTAATGCAAACTCTCACTGTATCCAAAAAAACCTTTGTACCTTGTCAGTGAAGTCGTAACCAGATCCTGAAAGCACAAATCATTCATCTTTCTGCCCAATTCTGACCATTTAGCCATAAGAAAGCTAAAAAATTTAGAATTCATTTTCCTTGAGCTATAATTCACCTTCAACACCCAGCCTTTACAGAAATCTCAATGCAATAATGATGTAATCTACAATTTTACTGCAAAACTAGAATTTGTTGGACTTCAGTAAAGGATTTTCCACTTCATCGATACAAATACCCAACTGCAGAAGAGTGTATGCATGTGATATTAATAATCGTGTTACCAGGTGTGCATAAAAATGCACAATTCATGAAATGTTAGCACTTACCACTTCTGTCATAATGTTTTTCCAGTATGAATCCACAATCTTAAACTTTCTGCCCTCTTCAGGCATTTGAGCTATAATGTCTTCTGAACTAAAAATTGGTTCCAAATACAACCATGTTGCCTGACATTTTAACCAGCTATCTAAAATATCTTGCATTAAACACAGCTTATCTTTCCAAGCCTGCAATGAAAACATTTAGTAGTTAAGCAAAATTACAACAAGAAAAAATATGAATATTTTTATATATGTTCTTAGTTAACAACTCTCTAACATCTTTTATCATGTCAAAATACCCTGAAGCACTTGAGGAAAGCTTATTATGAGACATGCAAGCTCAGTCAAACTGGCTTTTCCTTACCAGACATTCAGCTTCTATTGGTTTGATGAAGGGAGAGCCACACACTGTCTGAGTCTTAACAATGTGATCATCCAACAAAAGCTGGATGTCATCCACTGCCGACAGGATGTTGGTGTCCTGTGAACACATCACATTTTGGTAAGTCAAATGGAGTCACTTTATTTCACCACTCATCCTGCTTCCCCCTACTCCATCATGAGAAGATATCAAATGGGATCTCTTCTGCACACCTCTACTTCAAAGGTCCAGACAGAGATTGTTTTGTTATAGGAAGCTGATTCCTTCTGACTCAGTCTTTTGCACCGTGACTGTTCCTTCTTCTGGGCAAGTTAAAATTCTGCTACTGTCCAGATTTCCATACAATATTGAGGAAGTCCTCAGGTTCACAGATTTATTAGGATGAGCATGGGAGATCAGAAGCTCTCCAGATACTTAAGTCCACATAAAAGGACTTATAATAAAGGAGACATTTGCTCAGCTGTGGACTAAGATACATCTTTCCATTGGGCCACAATGAATCAGCAGCAACATCCCTCTAATATTTCTCAATTGGTATTCAGAATGAAAGTAATTATTTTCAGATATATATATTGATTTAGTGTTTACTTACAGTATCCCTGTACTTGGCCAAACCAAAGCGCACGTCGACCCACTCTGATTTCATTTTCTCTATTGATTTCTCCAAGGAATACTCCTTACTTGCAGCTGCTCCAACAGGTTCTATTCTAAATTGAAATGAAACATAGATTTTAAATGTTTTTATAATATAGCTGAAGTACAAAAAAAAAAAAAAAAGCAGTTGTAGGTAGAGCTGCATATCAGACTACCTTTCATAATAATTTCTTAATAATATCATAGACTCTTTCTTCAAGGAATATTTTTCCATTTTCAGCTTTACCAAGTTAGAGATATTGACATTAATTGGAAGACAAATACAGACAAAAAATTCTCAATGATAAAATTAAGTGATTTAGGAATACAGCTGGACTTTTATGCCTCTGTGCTACAAGAACAACTGACAGTTCACACCTTGATAAATATAGCTGATTTTACAGCATGTTCTAACAGCACACAAAACCCCAAAAGAACTAATATTTGGTATCTGAGCTACGAAAGACAATGTCTAAAAAATGAGACTAGATTAAACTTCTTACTCTTCAATAAATTTTGAGAGTCCACAGTCCAATATGTATTTAAGGTTAGTGTTTTTATCCGGTTTGATCTCACATCCTACAATTTTACTAATCTGAAAATAAAGTAAGAAATAAATCTATTATCAAGATGCCTTTTTGCAAAATACTTTTAAACAGCAAACAAATTCCAACAAAGTATTAGTCCAACACCCTAATTTGCTTTTCTACCATAAATTATTAATTTAAAGAAGCTTCTGCCTGTGACGTTACAAATTTCAAAAGTGGATCAATCATGTCAGGATAAAAGATAGTGATAGTCTGACAGTTTCTGTGGAAGAATATTTCCACAGCTAAAGCAGAGTTTAAAGTACCTGCTCCCAGTGTCTCTCCTTCATTCCACGATTGCAGGCAACGGACAGGACAGGAAGATGCTGTTTAAATTTATCAAGCTTGAATTTCATGGATTCTGCCATGCGCCTGGGCACAGGCACATCTGGGAAGCTCTTACAGAGCTTGTACATGGTCCTCCACATATTTCCAACCTCTTCACTAACTTCATCAGCATTCAATTGCAGAAGAGGTCCTGAATACAGCAGCATAAAAAAAGCACAGCAGGCACTTCAGCACCAGGAGATTTCCCAGGGTGGTTTAATTACAGCTATTTTTCATCATTGTCCTCTAACTGGAAATCAACTGTGTTACAAAAAATTATCTTCATGCAAAATCCAAGTCAGTAACTTTATTTCACACTGCTTAACAGCATTTATTCCTTAAAATTATTTTCTCATGACTAATCAACCCTCTCAGCTTCTACTTAACAACTGCAAAAAACATGTTTCTTCAAATGAACATCAAAGCCTCACCATTCATCCATTCCTCAGATTTGGTATGGAAAGCATATGCCGTTACCCAAAGCTGCTCAAAAGGTTCTTTGGTTGTAATTATAGATTGCAAGAGAGGAAATTGACTCTTCTCCTGCCCAAGCAAATCTTCTTCATAATTAATACTCTTTAGGGGGAAAAAGAAAAGTGTGTTATTCCCATCAAAAATTCCTATTGTTGTTTAAACTTCTGAACAGACAATACTGTACACAATTATTTGACATGTCTTAAAGCCAGACAGAGCTGCTGATAGAGGCCTGTGGATTTTAGGTGCATAAAGGAACGGTGTTCTTGAAAATTCCCCTGGTTCTTTCACAGAATCATAGAGATCTTTTCCAACCTAAACCATTCTAAGATCAAGTGCAATGGTTAGCCCAGCATTTGTGGGTATCTTTTACTACTCAAACAAAATTAAAAATCCAAATCCATTTTAGAATAAGATAATGTATCATGGAATACAGTGAAAACAAGGCTCAAAAATTTCCAATCCACAGTGAAATGTAAATGTAAGTCCCTCAGTTAGAGAGGCTTGTAGGATTTTTTTAAACTTGTGAGTAAGTTTTCTTCTTTTACAGAATTATCTGGGAGCTCCCACCAAAACAGCTGTTAATTTCTGTGTTTATTCATGGTAAGACATTGTCTTCATCCAAAGGAATTTACAGTAAAATTCAATGTGCAAAGATTTAGTTTTTAAAAAAGTATTGTCTTCTTCCTTTTACAGATAGGGAGGTGAAGCACAGAGAAATACTGTCTGAAATGTGGACACTGAATTCAGATTGAGTCCTGAGTCTGAGCTTTTATAATGCTAACAAGCCTTTCATAAAACTTGTAATCATTCAATATGAGCTGCAGGCAGAAAAAACAAAGATCCATATTCCAAGATAATATTTAAGTTCATGTATTGACTCAGCTAATTGGCATGTCATTTAAACATTGTGTGGATACACCTCTCATTGCAATCATGTATTAAGAAACTTGGGCTTAATTAGTTGTTCTGATCTACCTATAACAGCATATCTGTGCTGTAAACTCACACTAATTAAATATACTAGATGCATTTAGATCAGATTGATAGTGTTGATGTGTAGGACTACCAGTTTATTTAAATTCTAAACTCAATTAATTGGTTCAATTTTTTCTTTTGAGTGGGACTTAATTAAAATCTTGACCTTTATGGCTCCATATATGGAGAAATCTCATTCTCTCAATGATTTAGAAGATTAATTAAGCCTCACAATGCCTGTGAGATCTCTCAAAGACAGCCCTCCTAATTTCCCAGCAGAGTCACAGCTGAGACAAACTGTTCAACTTAGGATGATACAGTAAATTGGATAGAGAGACCTGAACAGAATCTAGAAATCTTGGTCTTCAGTTTGTTTTTTAGCATTTGAAATTCCTGTTATGTGTTAAATGCATATTTAATGCCTATCAGCGTTAAATGGAAATTATACAAACAGTTGAAAAACATTTGGTTTTAATTAGAGAGCAAGCAGAGGGACTGAAAACATAGCTCCAGTGCACAAATCATGATTCAGGAAAAATGCCAGCTCCCTTACATTCTGCCTCTGCCAACTCTGCCAGAAGAATTGTTTTCTCTGGATAGTATCTTGGTACTACTGACTGCTTGGAAACACTGAAATTCATTATTTCAATTTTAAAAACTCCCTGAAGTATTTTTTCCCAAAATTTGCTCTTCAACTCAGCAGTTGGGACAAATCAGCATATAGGCACATGAAGATATTTGCCACATCTTGGTGAATTTGGAAATTTTAAAGCCATCTTAACAATATATGGCCATAACCCTGAAAAAAAAATCTGGGCAGGCACCAAACTTTTGGTCATTCAACACATTGTATATGATTAATAAACACTAACCTCAAATTCTGCTAGAGCATCAGCTATATTCTTATTTAACTTTTCAAAATGCTCAGTATTCTTCCTCAGTTCTTCTGCAGTCACGATATCTCCCCGCTTTTTGTAGCTTTCTAGTTCTTTATTATAACCTTCAAGAGTTTCCTTAAACTGAGAACACCTAAGATAAAGATAGCTAAGGTAATACAATGTTGTGTTTCATTCCTTTTTAGGCTTCAATTATTTTGTTAATTACAACAGGCACTGTCACATGAAATCAGATTCAATACTAGTGTAAACACAGATGCCAGTGAAAGCTCACTAATCACTTATATCAATACTATGCAGTTCACAGGATTAGAACTCAAGGCTCATTTCCAAACCTCACAATTGATTTACTTTACTTACATTTCCTACCTCTACTACCTGGAGAAAATAAAGGAAGAGTAAAAACAATGTAACAAAACTATGTGTACTGCTGTACTAATCAATATAATCAACATAAAATAATGAATATTCTGGACCAATCCTCCATTCCTCCTTTCAGATTTATTTAAGTGTAGGGATACTCGAATCCATCCTTATCAATAGTATTTTTCAGGATTCTCCATAATACTACAAGCTAGATTTATTCCTTACTTTCTCAGCTTCCTTCTAAGTTTTCCTTCTTTGAAATTATCTCCCTTCTACTCATATTGAGATTTTTCTTTCCTTTAAAAATACCCAGTGAAAAAAATTACTTAACACCATACCTCTCAAACAATGCCTTCTCCACCTGAATCCTCCTGTCAGTCAACATTTTTTTACTGCTTTCAAATATTTTCTTTATCTCCTCAGGCCAATGGAAGACAGTGCTGTTCAGGTTTATGTCCTCATCTAAAATAAAAAAATAGTCACCTTTAAGAAAATACCTTTTAACCAATGATTTAATAGAATGGTTATTATGTAATAGAATGGCTACTAACAAGCAAAATAGTTAAACTATGTTTAGGAATAAGCAAAGAAACTGGTGGCTGGGTTATCTTTACTGCAAAGAAATCTTCCCTAAAACAAGTCTGATTGACAGCAAAACTGTGAAATCAAGTTAAGAATGTGAAATTATCTAAACAAGATGTTAGCTAGATAGAGACAGTTAGTAAGAACAGGTATTCCATATCAATTCCATTCAACTACACACAAAGAGATCACTCCAAACTAAATGTATATTATACATACATAAAATGAATAAATGTTTAAACCATTTCTAGTCCTCAGTCTGTAAATGCTGAATTATTCACAAATGCTAGAGCATCACAACTACAAGATAAGCACACATCTCCATCTTTATATTTGTCTGTTCACTCAGTGCACTTAGGTCATTATAACTAATGTAGGACACATCATTTGGCCAGATTATATAACATTGACCTGATAATACCTAAAACAGGTTAAAAAGCTCTGTCTATGCTGTGTGCCATTCCTCCACCATTCCTTGCTGCACTGGTACGTTTTGGCCTCTATTGAATTATTTTTATTTCCTTTCTATCGGTTTTGGAACTTTCCATTAGCACCCTAGAAGATGCAACATTTAGGCATGCAAAGCAAATTATTTATATATAAACATTCTCATATGGAAATTTTATATTCTGTAGTCAGACATACCAGAGAGATCAGCATAGTCCATGAGGATTTGCAGCCTCTGCACTGCTTTTTCGAGATCCTTTTTCAATTTAACAACAGTAACTTCACTGGATTTCTTTAAGAATCCTTCATATTCCACTAACTGTTCAGTGCTCTGAGGCACCTCACTCATTCTCTTTGCAATAAAGTTAAAGTCCTCACAAATTCTTCAACAAAAAAGAGAACAGACATATCACTGGGATTGTAAATGAGGAGAGAGGCAAAATCTAGTAAAATTATTTTGTCCTTGAAAAAGAATATTAGATTTCTTCATATATTGAACTTTTTTTTCTCCCTGTGAGTTCTATCCAAAGTTCCCTGTTCAGCCAGGCTGCCCATCTTGCACTTGTCTGGTCAGCACTAAAAACCCCAGCAGATGAGTAAAGTGTACAGTAAATGCAGGCAGACACCAAGAACCATCCATGCAAACAGGTACCTTTGATTTAACTGTCTGTTTTCCATCACTTCAAATTCAATCAATGTGTCTTTGAGATTCTGGGTCCGATTGCAGAGTTCCTCATTCAGTTGCAGAGCATCCAGACAGAACATGGCCAGAGGAACAGTGATATCCATAGAAGCAATCTCGCCTTTCAGTTTTGTGAAGCTGTCAATCTTCTAAGAACAGAATACAATAAACCTGTTATTTTTCCTGAAAGTCTATAGCTGAAAAATCTGACACAACAAATAGTTTCCATCCAACAAACTGGATCATTTATTCTAAACAGAAGAAGGAAAACTCATTTTTATCTTTCCAGAGACCTGCTCTTATCCACAGATTCCAGGGCTGAAAGCTTTGCACAGTAATTTGCCATAGTAGGGAACACCCCAAGCTGCCTAGGGAAGCATTTAGCCATATGCTAACTCAGGGATGCAAAGGGAAGAATAGACAGGGCTGACTGAGGACAAGACATTTGAAAGACAAGCAAGCTGCAGATTAACCACATACTCTGGGCAGCCTTTCTGCTAAGAAAGAACAACAAAACTGACAGAAGAAGGTTATAAAGAAACCTTCTCTTACTCTTGCACAGCAGCCCTTAAGTAAGGGGCTATGTAAATTGAGCACTCCCTAGTATTCCCAAGGGTAAAATAAGTGATTTGTACTTGAGGGTATAAATTAGGAAGTCATGTGTGATGTTTTAGCAGCTGTATGGACATGCTGCACTTGTCAGGAACACATTACCTCAGTTAAAGCATCTAAAGAAGGAACTTTTTCCAAAAATTTTGAGACATCTTGCCGTGATTTGTTGTTCAAAAGATTGCTGTACTTCCTGTACACATTTAAATACCTTAAACAAAGAAGACCACAAAAACAAACATAAGTTTCTAATGCAAAGTTTCTCTATAGAAAGAAACAAATACACTCAAACTGTTTATTTAGTCAAATGGACAGTGCTATGAAACTGAGGGTTTGGAAGGGCAATGCAGTTACCAGCCAAAACTTACTTCTTTGGACCAACTATGTTGCTTTCAAAGATCTTTTCAAGTTTGTTGATATACTCTAAAAACAATGACTCATGTGGTTTGACTGTATTAAGAGTGAGATCACGTCTTCGTAATTCTGGAAACAGAAGTTTCTCTACCTGAAGGAAATCATTACAAATACTGTAACAAGACACAGAATAGGAAAAAAAAAGTATTCTATTACCCATTCTCCTACCACATTAAAAAATCTTTATTTGGTAAAGACAGTGCAATGTGAAAATGCTCTGATCCATAATTAACACTTGGTTACTCATATAGTTTGCTTGAGAAAATAATATGAAAAATAAATCAAAGCAGTGCCACAATTCTCATCTTTGAGTTTGCTTGACAAAATGATATGAAAATAAATCAAAGCAGTGCCACAATTCTCATCTTTATCTTCTATGTCAGTCTTCAGCCACATTCATAACTTTTTGTATTCTAGATAGTTTTTATTAATATTGTATATTGTATGCAGCTATAACTTATCCAGCACCTTTGGGAGCTCCTCAGCACTCTGCAGGATCTTCTGGAAGCAATGACTGATTAAAGCCCAACATTCCTCCAGAGGTGGCTCAAAGACTATATCAGGCTCTTGCACACGGAGTTTGACTATGAGTATCTGAGACAGGAAGAACTGCATCCCTTGATATGGTTCTTTAAAGTCATTTCCACCCTTAGGGAAAAGAAAGAAAAATTTACAGAACAAGGAAGTGAGCTATAGGAATATGCTCCCTAAATATCCTTGCTACACAACAACAATGGGACCATCTTCCCTGATATTTATACAAAATCTGATGTTTCAAACAAGATCCTATGGCGCTGACTCCTAAATGAGTCTATAAAAGCTAGAATTAAGAAACTGGATTTAAGTCTAATTGCCTTTTCTCTTAAGTAACAGAAGCACATCATTATTATGATACAGAACAAAATTTATTTTAAAAAAAATAATCTATAATAGCCATCAGAAATAAATTGTAGAATCTAGTTTTAATTGCCTTTAATTGTATGGTCAGTAAGAATTGCACCACCCCCAAATTACCTTTACAATAATGGAGTCCTAATCCATTACTAGATTCTCAATGTAGGCAATATAATAAGTTAAAAAAAAACAACCAAGCAACAAAACAAAACAAATAGAAGAGCCCACCCAAACCAACCCACCAGAGGAAAAAAAAAAAAAAAAAGGCCCCCCCAAACCAACCCCCCCAGAAAAAAAAAAAAAAAAAGGCAAAAAAAAAAATAAAAGAGCCCACCCAAACCAACCCACCAGATGAAACTTTAAAAAATGTAAAAACCCAACCATCAGCCACACAATCATCATCCAGATGCAAAGCGTAGTGGCAAGACTTAGTGCAAGCTCTGATAGTAAATTATATCAAGCGGGTGATTCAATTGATCCTCTGCAATGCAGTATTTAACCCACCATATTTATTCTTTGTCTTATCAAGGTAGGTCCTGGGTGATCCTATATTTAAAAAACTCATTTCATCAAAGAAGCAACTTTATGGCAGCCAAAACAGTGGTAAGAACTCCCATGCAATTCTGTGCATTAGTTGCAAGAATATAGGGCACTCACTGGATATAGACACGGACACCACACCCATAATTCACCTCTGCCAAGGATTACACACAGGACTGTGCACACTTTGTCTTCAAAAGGAATTATTTCTGTGCTTTCAGAGAAATAGTGTTAAGACCTTGGTTAAGACCAAGAAAATTAAACTAATAAAACTAAACTGAACTAAAATAAAGGCACACTCACTCAACACTGAGCTGAAATCTGCTATAAACTCTTACTTGTAACCCTAGACCTGCCAAGTGATCATTCATGCAGTTCTTGACCCTGAAAAAGTCCACTGAGTATACACAAGCCTTTGAAGAATATAGCCATATTTTTATGGAGGCAAGAGCCATTTGGGACATTTTAGCCCTCAAAGAGCACTAGATTTTATGGCTATATGAATTATCTCCATGTAAGACAGAAAACTATACATACACCTGACAGCACATACCTTGTGGATCATAAAAAATGCAAGAAGATCTTCTAAGGAGTTAATAACCATCTCACGCAATTGTAACGACATCAGAGCTGCCACAGAGCTAAAATAGCTTTCAACTTTTGCAGAGGAATCAGAGTCCCTTTCAGGAGCAAAATGAAGCCACATATGTCTCTGATCAATAAAAATAGATGCACAGGTTGGTATCCACCTACAATGAAATAATACAGAGACATAGTTTTTAAAGGCTTGTTAGTTTTACTTTGCTCCTTGCAACAAAATCTAAACTCAGAAATTTCCCAAAGAATGAGTAAAATCCAAAGGGCTAGAAGAGAATTGATAATTAGATATCAAACAGAACTATACCTTCCAGGACTCAGAGGAAACCTGAGTTTTAAAGCTAAGGATGCTTGTTATGATTAGTTTAAATTAATAGTAACAGACCACTATGATTAGTTTAAATTAATAGTAATAGACAAAACAATAGTTAATTTTATTGTTTTATTGATTGTGAAACAATATTCAATTATTAGCATTAAATGAGAAACAAGTTTGAAAGATATCTCAGGCAAGAGAATGCAAACACTTTCTATCATGTGTCTCAAATATTCTCTTTCTTAAATTGACTGATTTCCATAATAAAAAAAATTAAAAATATTTTCCATCACCATTTTTACAGATATAGACTCCATTCCTCTCACAGGTAGAAACCTTCTGAATTCCAGTCTCCATTTATTCATAGTTTATTACCATTTATTCTTGCACAAGCCCTCTTGCAGGTCCAAAGGCTCTGACAGTGTCCCAGTGTTTATTCCTCTGAGGGCTATTCCCCCCTTTGTTCTGGCAGCCTTGTGCCTGGGACTGCTGTCATCTCAGTCTAAGATCTGTTTTAAAAACGGGCCTTGCTGTAAGTCAGGCCCTGAGATATTGCATTTATCTACAGCTAGCAGAGCTGGCACTGACTTGTGCTGAAGGATATCCCGAGCTTCCTCGCAGTGCCTTTGAACGATGCCCTTGAACTCCTGGGGCAGCAGCGGCAGGCGCCCACAGAGCACCTCTGCAGTGCGAACAAACCGCAGGCGGCTGTACCTGGGGAAGGGGAACACAGAGGAGATCTTAGGGAATACTGTCTAAAAAATACCATCCATGAAATATAGTCAGCAACGCCTCAAGAGTATTGCAAACACTAAAAATGTAATTTCATTTATAAATATCACTCCATTGCTGTCCAACAAGTGCATTTTTGATTGAGTTTTTCTATCAACAAACATAAGGAGTTTCACAAATTTTAGTTGTACTTGCTGTATTTAAAATGCTTAATTCTTTACTAAAATTGTCTGCTCCTTTTCCTAGATTCATCAGTGTATCCAGTCATTAAAGAATATAATGAAAGAAATGAAACCTATTGCTTCTATTCCATATTATTAAGTAGCTATCCTGACTACTCTATGGGGGAAAAAAAGAAATTTCAGCAGCATGGCATACATCACAGTTTATAATATACAAACTTAAACTCCTGAAAGCATTTCTTAAATGCAAAAAAGCTCTCAGAATTACTAATTACCATATTTAACTTCCTAAGATAACACATCTCAATTTTCAAATGTCCCCAGGGCAAATTTCAACTACAAACATTTGAAAGATATTCAGTTTGAAGAGTTAATTTTGTTCACAACAGCAACCAGGATGAGAATTCCAAATCACCATTTACTTGAGCACTGGATCTTAATTTAGGCATAGCACCTTTTTAACAAAGGAGATGACCTTTTCACATCACGTAACACATGTTCATTCAGCGACTGCAGGAAACAATCATTTTATGCTGAAATTTTTAGAGGCTAAAAAAAAAATTATTTAGAAAACAGACATATTTTGCTACTTTCTACCAGGATTCTCTGCAGAGAAGTCAGCAGATGCACTCCAACCAAATCATTAAATAAAAACATGCTACATTTCATTAAGGTCCTATGAACAAGCCATCTTACTGAGAAAGCCAGAGCTCTTGCAAAGTGGGCATCATTGCATTCACGATAAACAGATTGCTTTCATTCCAACTTTTCATTTCTTTGTAAGAGCTGTGCCATGGGACTGGTGCACAGACAACTCTCCGGGGAAAAGGGCGTGGAGTGCTTTGAATAGACAGTCTCTTCCTCTCAGCTGGATCCAACAAGATATAATCAACTAGAACAAATCATATATACCATGTTTAGACTCCATATATAGCCAAAACCTACATTCAAAACCACTGTATCTTCATAGTTCAGGAAGAAGTAGAATTCTGCACATTTAAAACTAACATAGTCATACAGTTATTTGTATGCTTTTAGCATAAATTACAGCACAATAACCAAATTACAAATTTGACTCTAAAATTATTAAAGGGGACAATAAAAGAGAATTGGTCCTGATTCTAAAAACAAAAGACAGGAGAAACAATTTTTCATTCCATCTTTCCACCTGATGGGATGTAAGGTTTCACAAATAAATATTTCTTGAAATTGTTGAATGCTGTATAGCATGATCACAGTTTATTTTCTCTCAGAGATCTACTGTAGTTCTACTGACCCCAAAGGAATTCTCCACTGAATTATGCTAAGAATAGGAGATTTGCTTTCAAAGTGCAATAAATGTCTACATAGCTGGAACTGCTCAGAGATTGTGAGTCTTACCAATGGCTTTCATGAGGCTGATACGATAGTCTTTCCTAATCTCTTCTTTTAAACATGCCAGGGGTTTCTCCAGCTCTGGGCTAGGGAGAATGTGAGCTGGAATATGTTTTAAAATTTTATTCACCACTTCCTTATCCTGAGGTGCCAGCATGTCTTCTCGCACTCCATTGTATATGTAGTGACAGTACCGCTAAAAAATGTTTAAAAGATGATGCTTATTGTATGAATTTTGTGACAGATAATTAATTACTATGAAGTATTTTTAGCTTTTCTATCACCTGAGCCTTTTCTGTAATTGAAAGGTGTTTGAATATAATGGATTTGGGTATCTATCTATGTTCCTTTTAAAGCACTGACATCTTGTGTTGATGCAAGCACACAGATCACTAGAACTCAGTTCAGCATACTAAATTACTGATCAAAAAAGTACTAGAGAACAACATGAGAACTTAAGAATTTGGGAACATACTTAACTTGCAAACCCTTTACAACAAAAATCAGAGTAGCTACAAACAAATGAAAAAGGAGTTGACAATACTTAACAGGAGTTAGCTATACTGAGTATTTACATCTCCTAATTCTCATGTACTGCCTGCTTTTCTCAGCTACCTTTTAGTAAACAGTTTCTAGATATCTTGCAGATGATTACTGCTGCTACTTTCACCTCAAAAAGAAATTACATAAATACCTCTAAATCATCATTTGAAGGTAGCTTTTCTCTCTTACTTATCTCCTTCTCATGTAAATCCATGAGAGCAAATTGTTCTTCTGGGGTCAGTGGCTGGTTGGTTGTATAATTTATGACATGCACTTCTGGTGTATGAGCAGGTACACTCAGTGAAATGCGACTCACAGTCTTTAACAAAGTACTTTTGAAAAAAAGAACACAAGTTTAGTGAATAAAGAAGCAGTAATGTTTAAGGACAGATGATAAGGATTATACAAATTACTTGTGCTACACTGAGGACAAGTATGACCTATGGAAGTATTTCAATTATTCAATAAAAGAACTCTCATTAAAATTGCATAATACAATATACTACTTTAACATAAAGGATGCAAGCATGAAAACCTTACAACTGCCCAGTATCACTCAGACAGGCAGCATTTTATGAGCAGCTCTATCAGAGTCAAACCTACTAGGACAGTTATTTAGGTTGCCTAAGTTCACCATGTATTTTCATGTGATTGTCTTACTAAAATCTTGTGACTCAAAAGCCAGTCTTGATGAGCATTCATTTTTGTAGGGCCTTAACTTCTCATGCTTGGATGCTTAACACAGCATTCAGTAAAAAGAAATATTAAATCACAAATCAAACCAAATTTACTGTAATCATCTGTATCTTTATAACACTACAGTATGTCACCTGTCAGAACTCCATCGCCGCTTTTTTCTTGCAGCTTTAAATTCCAGTTAAGAAAAATCGCATACTTTTTCAAATAAGATATTTCAAATTGGTGAAAAACAGAGCTAAGATAATTAATCACATAATGAAATAAGAAAAAAATACAATGTTACAGAGAAGCACTGCATGTGATTATTTGGAGGGATGTACCTAACTAGTAAATGTGAAACATTTCTTGAAGTTATGCATGTATTGGCAAATTTGTCTATACTGACTCTGAGGTGATAAGCTTGTAAGTGTTCATTAGGGATAAGTGATGTTTTCCAGAGATGATGTTTTAGCAGATAAAGAATTAGAGATAACAACGTATAGAACAAGCCAGCCTAAACTTATAAACACATTCAAATATGGATACACAGTGAAGGCTGTGATATCTCTATCATTGAAAAGGACTTCATTTTTTTAATATTTTTCAATTTTAAATCCTGTGCAGTAGGAGTGTAGTTATTAGCTATGGAGTCACTAGGGTTTCTGTAGTGATGCTGTTCTTTGAATGGAGCTGCCAAAGTCCACGATGACTCCTGCATCAAAGGAGGATAGCGGGTTTTCTGAAGGACAAGCTGAAACCGGAAAAACAAAAGCAGAAGTTTTACAAAGCACAGTAATTTAAAAAGCCTTCTTAGGGCTAGAACAGGATTAAACATCAATTAGTATAAAAAGCAAATACACAGGTCAGACATGCATTTGACCACCAATCTATTTTTAGATCACTATGCTCTCCACATGAGTAAAGATCATTTTACAGAACACTTCAGTTGTACTCAGGCTTTTTTTTGCATAATCAAGGTATTTTTTATAAATAAGAGAAGACAGTTTATTATCTAGTTCTTTCTACTCCCTCAGATCTACTTCAGTTGTACTCAGGCTTTTTTTTTTTGCATAATCAAGGTATTTTTTTATAAATAAGAGAAGACAGTTTATTATCTAGTTCTTTCTACTCCCTCAGATCTCTATCTTGCTTCTTTTCTTCTTGTTATATTTGCTTAGCTTTAGAAAATTCCCATTCCTTAGGCCTTTGTTAACTACCTATCTACTTTGAACACTCAGTCCTTGTAATAGTTGAAGAATAGTACAAGTTAACAAATTCAGCTCTTGCATTTCCTTCAGATCACAGTAAGGATTTGTAATAGACTTCTTTTGTCTGTTCATTCCGTGTTTTCTGAGGTGACTTATTGATGGACTTTTCATCAGTCCTGATGTCTGACCTTTACCAAGATAGCTCACAGGCACAGGAGATGCATATTTCTAAATATACAGAAAAAACCTCCAAGGCCATCAAGTTCAACCTTTGACCCAGTACCACCATGCCCACTAAACCCCATTGCAAGGAAGGGGAATTTGCCAGCAGATGGAATGTGTGCACACCCTGTCAGCAGGGCAGAGAGCACTCACCTCATTCAAGCCTGAAGGTTCATCTGACACAGAAGCAGCTGTGCACAGGACTGGTAATTTCACTGACTGTTTGCGACGACTCATATTGCACGTGGAATTGTTTTGTGACTAGAGAGAAATGAAAAGCAACTTCAAAGACATTTATTAAATACTGTGTTTCAAAAAAGATTAATGAAGAAGGAACAGAGTCCTTCAGTTTTCATCGAAAATTACATATGGCAACTTTTCAAATTTTAAGGAAAGAGCCATTCTTTGTGTTGGCTTTCTCATCAAAACATGTTTTTTGAAATCATTTTAAAAAACTTCTAAACACCACTAAAAAAAGGGTTTTTTTTTAAACTGGCATTAATATCCCTGAAAACTACTTAAAGTTAGTTAAATACTTTAAATTATACTAAAAACTCCACATGGAGTAACATTTGTAACAGTATAAACTCTGGACATTAGCATATTAAATCCTACCAGACTGCCAAATTGACAGTGAAACAGTCCAAGTTGTGTGAACTGTATTACTGGGGAGGGGAAAAAAAACCCTCTAGATTTTTTTAATGTCTTCAAGGAACCAATTATAGAAGAAGCTATTACCAGGATGCTGCTGGAAGAACAAATTGCTCACAAGTACTCTGCAAAGTGTTGTACTACAAATGGAAGGATATCTGATATGTTTTAGGATTATGTTTCACCTCTTCAAGGTGACAATAGAGATGGCCTCCAGGATGACATAAAAAGTTCTGTCAGGATATTTTTACAAAATTATTAAACCTCACAGTGTTTTAAGATGCTTTTGAATGGCAACCTTCCCCAGTAAAGGCCAAAGCCTCACCCATAGTCTGTTCTGAGTTTCCTAAATCAGACTTGTTTAGGAGATTCACAAAGAATGATTTCCTGAATACATAGTGACAATATGAGAAAAAGGAGGTGGAAGTGTGCTGTATCTGAACACCAGTGAGTTAAATCACCACGGAAGAGGAAGTTATTACCCAATACAATTATGTTTGAATAAGACATAATTTTTTTTTACATAATTTTAACACAGTTTCAGCACATGGTTATTGCTTTCTGATGTATCACTGAAAAACAAAGCTGCTGGAACCTAGTTTTCTAGCAAACAAAACTGTGCCCTCCTCAATATCAAAGCAGAGCCCATTTAGAAATAAAATTTGAGAAAGGACTGATTTGATTTACCTTCTTGGTATTCCTCAGCATGCCTGCACACACAGAAATAAAGACATTATCACTGCCAGACATAACTCATTAAAGAGAGCATGAATTCCTTTTGATTAATGACTAAAGAATTGGGCCTCAGGGTACTTTAAAAATGAATAAATGATACAGTTCATTAGGATATCCATTCATTCATTCTTAAAGGTCCAAGAGTCATTAAAAAAGCCATGGTTCATCCTAAAACAACTCCTGACTTATATGGCAAGTAACCTTTCAAACACCTAATATTTGAACAAAGAAGTCCTTAATAAAAAATATGTTATAAAGGATTAAGTCCAAAGAATATTTAACAAGAACATGTGTCTTTTAATAAGCGTTCTTCCAATGTCAAACCACTAACCACCAGTAATGGCCAATTGCATCTGAAGTTTTGACAAAGTTATTGATCTTTCACAGTCACAGCAGAAGTAACTTACCCTCAGGAGACTTGGGCTCTGTGCTGGCTTTATTTTGCTTTGGCTTTTCCGTTTGTTTAGAATTTTTTTGTCCTCTCCCTCAGTGTGAACATCCTTGTTGCCACACGCACTGGAAAAGAATGAGACTCATTTCAGGTACTACACAAGGTGTCAATCAGCTTCTATCCCAGTTGCCAGAAAGAAGAAAAATCAGCTCTCACATCCCCTGTTTACAACAATAAGCTCTCTCTTCCTCCAAACCTCCATGCTCTTTCTTTCACCATTCCTCTCAGGCTCACTTTTCACCTTAATATTTCTAACTCCCCCCAGATGTCCTTCAAGCAAGACTTTCTTAAACCCTGCCCTTTTCACTTTCTCCAACACCAGTTTCCTCCTTGCTGCCTGTTCTCTTCTAATGTCCCAGAACCCTGGGCCCCCCAGCTGTGTTTTACAGCAGAACCACACATTAATTGCCAAGAAAAATAAGCCCATGTCAAAAGGAATGGGAAAAGAGAAAGACACCCTGCCTGCTTCACTCATCTACAGGATGCACAGGTGGGCAGGGTAAGGGCAGGTACTACCTGCAGATGCCCTCATCACCAGTCTCTCTGCCTGTCACAGCTTGGTGAACTGCTCTGACACTCTGCCTTTCAGTCCTCAGCTTGGTTGCCCCAGTTACAGCATAGCTGGTGCTTGGAGACAGAATTCCCTCCTCCCCCAGCAGAGAGGAAACAGCCCCTTTCAGTGTTGTGCCAAGCTGTGGTCAGGGAGATTCAGTTGTGGAACCAATGAGGAACTGTACAGGCCCCTTTTACCTCTGAAAGTTATGAAAAAAATGTAGTCCTGAGATATTCTAACGTTTTCATTAAAGCACTGCACAGAGCTCCCAGAGCAGTAAAGGCTCTATAAACCAAATTTTCTTAAGAAGAATTGGAAAAAAATATTCAAGAGTCAAAACCTTGAATCCAAACACCTCTACCACTTTTCCACCATTCAGAATCAAACTCCCTGAAGATCTGAACACAGCAGGTGGGATAGTCTCAATTCCTCTAAGCCTGTATGTACTTGCCTCCCTCTCACAGTCATCATTACATCCTAAGAGTCTTCCATCACATTCTTCCACAAATGGGAATTGCAACCATCCAACATGAAATGTAGCATAGTCTCACTCTTAACAGCTACCCTCAAGAGGGCCTTGTACATCTTCTGCCAACACGAGTTCAATTTTAAACCTTTTCCCATCATCTTCGCTATTTTTCATGCCGTTTTCTATGAGCTGTGAGAATGGCTGATATCCCTGAGTTAACAGCACAGTTTTCCTTATGTCTTGCCTTTATACCACCCACAAGTGGAACATTGTTGTTGGCCACTGTTCTTTAAACATGGGTCAGCAGTGCAGGGTACAAAATCAGCCCTGCTGGTGCTGGTAATTGCTTGGCTAATGTGTGCTGTAACTCTCCAAATATTCCAGTGCTGGTTTGCAACATGAGTATTTTCCTGCTAATTGGAGCTGACACTGGCATGAGGACAAGCTCAATTAAGCAGCAGTTAAGAGTAACTACTTTTCCTCTGTGCACATCAACTCGGATGCTCATATATGCATGCCCTTCTAAGCTGAATAACTTATCTCTGCTGCTTGAAAAACGTTAAAACCAGTTGTTTTGTATAGAGGAAGACTATATATAAATCTTTAGCAGAAGAGATAACTATGCATAGCAAGAAAATAATTTACTAAGAAGTATGAGACTATCTTCAAAACTGCAGCTATGGCATGCTTGAAAACAGCCAGAAATTTAAAATCTCCAGTATACTTTAAACTGAGCTCCATTAAACTTCATAGTGCCATTATCACTGAGTTATGTCACACTGCAATTCTGCCAGCTAGTTTTCCCTATGTTCCTTTTTTAAAAAAAGTATACAAACCAACAAATTTATTATTATATACCCTAGAGTACTGGGAATATCAATCCATTGTGCACTTTAATAATATGAGAGACTAACACATTAAGAATTCAAGGTAAATACACTTGCCCTGACCATCCTCTTCTTGCAGGTATCTTGTGCTAGGCTTTTAGACCCCACAGTCCAAATGTGTTCATATGCAAATCCTATTCCCTCTGTCTACATAAATCCTGGTATCCGCAGAGATCACTGAAATCAGTACCTCAAAGACACAGAGCTCCAACAGCCTGATAAGTCTAACCCCCATACTTCATAAAACCTCTTTTTGCATTAATTTCCAAATGAAACATGCGATTTATTTTGTTGCCTTTAAAAATAATCATGAAACCGTTAACATTCAGTTTTGTAATACTCTTACATGTGGCACCAATTAAATTATTAAAGCAGGCACGAGAAACACGAATATTAAACTCATTTCTGATTGCAATTTACAGTATGGAAAAATCAGTGTAGCAGAAGGGCTGGGAATTCACTGAAGCCTCAGGCTTGCCTGTTCACACCACCACGATGGCACTGGAGAACAGCCCGGCCGAACACCGTGCGGCGCCTCACCGAGCCCCGCTGCCGAGAGCAGTCCCAGCCAAACGCCGACACTGCAGCCGCACTGCTTTCGCTGAAAACCCGGCTGAATTCATAACGCAATTACTCCTCACACGGCACATCTCCCCGAACAGGTTTGCCACGTGGGCACCAAAACACCCGGAGGCAGCAGGACAGGGTGGGAACGTGTGGGAGCAGCCCCCGGGCCGGGGCAGGCGGTGCGGCCGGGCGAGGCGCTCCGCAGCGGCTGCTCCAGCTCCTCACGGCGCCGCTGAACGCTCCCAGCTCCCTCCAGCCTGGGGACCGTGCCATTGCAGACACCCACGGAGCGACTGCTGCCACCGGGGCCGAGCGAGCCTCTGCACACCTCCACAGCGGCACGGACACCGCAGATACCCTCATTTTCCGCCCTCCATTCCTAAAATCTCTAGGACGGACACTCATGAGGGTGCCCGGACTGAGCGGCTGAGGTAGCGCGGGGGTGAAGGGCAGGACAGCAAGGGGGAACGCGGTAGGACGCCCGAGGGGCATCAGCCACCACCGCCCAGCACCAGCGGCCTTTGCAGCCGGGCCCGGGCGCTGCACGCCCACGGCCGCGCTGCGCCGCCTCAGGCGGGCCCGGCCCGGCCCCCGCGGGGAGGAGCAGCGGCGGCGG